AGAGTATAATCATGTTTTTTAATTTTCTTTCAATATTGTCAGTTGAATATATTATCGAATATCATAATTCTTTTGTTTTTATTTTTAAGAAATTAAACCTTACTTTGTTTTTTCGTTCAGAATCGGTAATTATTCAATTTAACTTTATTATTTATGTGAAATAATAATGATAAAAAATAGTGTTGTTTTAAAAGTGTTTTTTTTTGTTTAATTTATTTAGCACTTTGTTTTAAGCACACAAATAATTTTTAACGAACTTATTTTTTAAATTTTCTTTTTATATTGTTAGGTAAATATATTGATAAATTTCAATTTCATTTATTTTTTTATTATTTATTTTTAAACTAAGAAATCTTAGCCAGGACATGGAAAAAGTCCTATAGGAAAACATCCCTATAGGGATGTTTTCCGGACCATCTGACAGCTTATAAGGATGATCTGAAGACATGCTATCAGAATTTTTATCTACTGCGGAGGGGATCACATTTGTGAGGCTACTTTCTCAATTTAAACATAGACCAGATGGGAAATGAAGTTTTCTCCAGACCCCGGTACCCATTTTGCTGCTCAGTGGCCGACGACATCTGGCATAATGTTTAAATTTTGCCTCTTCCTTTAATGACGTGAAAATGGCTGTAAGTGTAAAGCAATCGTTGCGCTATAGCATCAATATGTGTTATTCTCACTGTATGCAAGTCACGCAAATTTGCTGAACGAGACAAGTCATTCAAGTCTCATCTGAATCTTCCCTTGAGAATTTGGACAGTCAAACAGTTCCAGCTAAAAAATTGCCAAGCGGGTTCTGCTTTTTCGCGAGGTCAAACAGAGATGCGTGAATCTCAGATCGAAGAATGGTCCTTAATGTCTGGGGCCACTTTCACAGCATCTGAATGACCATTCTCACTTTATACGATTCACGCAACTCCAAACACCGTTGAGATAGTAGAGGGCTACACTCACTGGGTGCGATTTTTTTTTTGCATGCGAAAAAAATGCATGCAAGCAGGAATCTAATTCATGATTTTTCCACGGGCTATTTACACTACATCCAATTACCCTAGACGCGCTTACGAGCTTTTAGAATTTTCATGCGTGAATCTTTAGAGCACGGATATGCTGCATTCCATGTCCATTAAATGTAACACAGTCGTGAGAAATTACCGTTTAATCTCACCAAAGTTTTTAAATCTCAACCTACTAGTTAAAAAGCATCGATAAATCGGGAAGTTTCTTGAAAAGCTACCTTTTTCAATTTTGCTGCTTAAATTTTATATAAAACCACCCAATTTTTTTCTATATGGAAAAGCTTTACTTTGTGCCTTTACTCTTTGTTGTCATGGCAGTGGATTTTTGCAGAGTTCTGCTAAATCCGACACTAGGATGTGTTTGCACTTCCGTCAATGCAATATCGTCGGCGCTGCGGACTGTTGCGCCGATTACGTCAGACCTGAATGACATAGTAGCAGTCGAAATTTTGATGTTACTTATTCTTTTCATAATGAAGAAACGGCCTCCGTATTCACTGAATTTAATAGGCACTTTCAGAGAATTGTGCATCAATGCTAGTCTTATAAGTACTACACTATCTAATCAATAGAATCGATCGAACTTATATAAATTTCATTTCACTGATCCAGATCACATCCTAGTGACCCTGAAGAAAATTGCGAACTTTCTTCTGGGGTAGGTTTCGATAGCTTTACAGTAACATTTGCTTTCATCACTTTTGTTTACTTTCCATTAATTTTAAAAACAAACTATATATTCCCTTTTTTATATTTACATTAACTTGTTAAAAAAGAAGAAATCCGAATCACAGAAGTCTAGGCTCAAAGTTACGGTAGATATAAGTGATAAGGTCTTTCTTTCATTCTCTTGTTATTTATTGTTTAATGATAATGTTTGTAAACAACAATTCTCTTATTTTATAATTGTTACTTGTAACTATTTAATTAGTTAGTTCTCTTCCGCTAAATAACTTGTATAACTGAAGTTTTTGTTTCGCTTTCAAATAATCTTAATTTTTAGTTTTCTAATTACGTCGCAATTGGTATCGTTGGGTTCAACGTCTATTATTTCAAAATAATTCGTATGAAACTATCCAGTTCTTCATATCTATCGAATTTATTTTTCTCAAGGCATATACTTGCTTGTTTTTTATAGAAGGTACATGTATTATGCTTCATTATATTTAAATTAATATTCTAAGAAAAATATAGCCATTCACCTTTTAATATAATGCAATTTGCTGACTTTTAGGTATGAATTTATAGTTCAATTATATTAGCTATTGAATGAAATTAGTCATTCTATGAAATGGCATATTTTATGTAAGCAAATATAGTTAAGCCTGCAATAATCAGTTTGATTTTCAATTATGATTTCAAAATATATAATTACACCAGCATTTTGCAAAACTATTCAAACGAGTAGTATATTATCTAATTTATTTAAATTAAAGTATTTAATTTGTTTGCAAGCAGTTTAAACAAATGTTTGTAAATGTCAAATCATTAATTTTCTTATTTTTGATTATGATGTACAGGCGTAGTTTTAATGTATGTTCAAGGGGGGTTATCGGTTATCTCCTTCAAATATATATATATATATAATATTTTTATAATATCTACATCCTACTTACAGTATATTAGTTCATCAATCAAGTGGTGTTTAATTTCGGAGGGGGTTTCATCCCCCAAACCCTCCCCAAAGCTATATCACTGATGTACATAGTGTTCTCCCTAGGAATAAAAAAGGGTAGGGCGCTTCCTCTCAAAAATGGTCACTTTGAGTTTTGAAAGGGTACTCACTTTACACCTTAAAAATTTATCAACTTTGCTAATATTATGTAATAACTGAATTTGATCCTCAACAATTTTTTAATTACCCTCTAATACTATTTTATGTGTGCATTTCAAAAAGTAATTCTCACTCATTATTAAAATAAGAGAAAAATTTGTAGTTTGAAAATAATAAATGAAGGCATGCTAAAAGATAATTACTGCATAAAAAAATTTTTTTTTTTTTAAAATGTTAACTAAAAAATTTATAAAGTTGGAAGCTTTTTTTCTTTAATTTAAACTGAAAATTATGAGAAAATGAACATTTAAAGGTGTTTTTTTTTCTTTTTTTTAAAAAAAAAGGTAATTATTCAAAAAATAAATTTTAAATTGCTTTAAAAATTCATCAATATACCCCTTCCCTCCCGAAAAAGAAACTTATAGAAATTTAACCAGTTGAGAATAATAATTGTTATTTGAACAGTGAATTAATTTTTTTTAATGGAATATGAATATAAATGCAGTAGTTTTTAAGGATGGCAGCTAATTTTTAAAAAGAGCTCATCAAAGGGCTGGCCGCTCTTCTAAAAACGCTTAGGGAAAACACTGATGAATGGCTTAAAATCAAATTAATTCTGAAAAATTCCTTTAAAGAAATATTAAGTAATTAAACACGCACTTAATTAATTTTAATGGAAATATATTGTTGTAAGTGTATAACACAAAATGTTCAGTTTTCCTTTCTTTAACTTCATGTAATTGACTTTTTCACATTAATATCCAAGAATTCACCCAAGTATTCACACATATGTACACTTATACTAATGACCAAAATAAAGTTTTGCATTACTGCTGGAACCAAAGCTTATTTAATAAAGTGTTTCAATAATAAATTATGTAGTATTAGATTAAAATTAATAATGTAACTTTCGTTTCAAAATAAAATTTAAAACTTGACTATTGCATTTTAATTAATATAATTGTTAGCAATATCTTCAAGTTTTAAGTAGGAAAATTCTGTGGACACAAAATGTTTGATACATAGTAAATTTTTCATAGTGTGAATTTAAAATTTACCCAGATTTTGTGAAATTGGCTTGAAATTTAATGATCAAATTATATCTATTAATACAAATTTATGTTATTTGACTTTATTTAAACATTATTAACAAAATAAATAATTTTTTGAAACATTTACCATTGCTTAAATATAAATTCTCTTCAACCAAGAGTTAGGAAAATCGCATGACCACTGTATGTTCCAAATGTCAGCCCTTGACGTTTTTACCCTTTAGAAGATAGTTCTAACATTTCCATTTACCTAAAACCCCAAATGGACTTAAGCAGTTTATATTAAGCTCAAGACAGATATTCAGGGAATAAATATGAATCGTACCTAATCATATAAAAAAATATTTTTAAGTGAACACATATTCAAATTTTATTTTGCTGTAAATTTTATCTTAGCAATGTCATTTATCCTATTTTTATTTAAAGAAAACCGCACCATTGTTACTTACCTCCTTTTAAATTACTGTGGATGATTTAAAACAAAATTACTCACATATTGCACACATTTAATTTATTAATGGAGTTGTTGCCACTTATGCTACTATATTTAATAAATGTAGCATTCTATTTAGTAAAAATATAATTGTCCTATGGTACATTAAATCAGGATTGACTTTTTGTTTTTGAAGCTAGTTTAAAAATTAATAATCTTTTAAAACTGGTTTAGACCAGGGTTTTAAAGTAAAATCCATTGATTTAGTATTGTACATTTTGAATAAAACACTTTCTTTTTTTTTTTTTGCTGTAGCTACTTTGGCGAGCCCTGGCTTAAGCACATCAAAAAGTATTAATCTGGAAAGCAGCATTGTTAGAAATATGAATTAAATTAAAAAAGATATTGTTATAGCAATTTCAATACATTCATTAAAGGTGAAGATTAAGACATCTTCCTGGTGGCGAGTAATCAGTCGAAGCAAATTTTTCGGAGATCCTTTCTTTTGCCAAGCTAAAAAAAATAACTAAGCAACAAATTAGCTTTTAAATTTCTATTAAAACCTAAAAATTATCATGTTAAATAAATGATAATAACTAATTTAATAGTGATAACATTAATTGTGTTATAAAAAGTAAAATATTTGAACAGAATTTTTTTTTAGGAGGAATGTTTTCTGAATAACTTAAAATTATTATTATTCCCTATTCACTAGTGTATCACTTATTAAATGAGAAAAACCAAAAAATCTTCTAACAAAAATTAAAATTCCGTAAAAGAGAAAAGATTTTATTGCACAAATTTGGCCGCCTGTGTCTGACAATGTCAGACCACTACTGTCAATACTTTCATAGTTAGTTGCCTCAAAGTTTTTACTGGATTGCTTTATTTGAACTCAAAAGTCTATAATTTCTTTGGTCATTCTCAAAGATCTGTCATCCAAGATTTGATAGTCACCTCTGTCTCCATCTCTGTCAATAACATAGATGGAGACAGTGGTAACCAAGTGGCAACTGATAGCGATATTTTTTTGAAATTAAAAGTTTTGAAGTCTAAATTTTTTTTGTAAAATTAAAATTTGTTATGTATTTTAAATGGGCTAAAATTATCAATATAGATTATAAAATTGAATATTTGTCAATTTTTTCCTCACATCTCAATTGTTGAAAATTTAAATGTTTAAAAAAAAATGTGATTAATTTGATTGATAACACTGATTTTAAGCATTATTAAAGGCAAACCAAATGTAGACGTTTATAATGTGATAGTTTCAATTTTTGCTACGTTGACAATTATGCATGGAAATTTAAAATGTTACGGTTATCTAAACAAAAATATCTTCTACTCCAGGGCTTGATTATGCTGCCTGTATATTATTTGTGACTTAAATATTAGAAGGTGCAGCAAAAAAATAAAAAAAGACAATTTTTAATCTAGCTTTTTTAAAAATAAATAAATCAGGGTTGGCAGGTTTTTGACATGTGACAGTTTTTGACAGTTTAAACCATGGNAACCCTGAAATAAATTAACCAAATATAACTAATAATAATAAAAGTAGATTTTAACTAATAAATAATTTTTGTTTCAAAGTGGTCATCTTTTGCAACAATGCAAATGTTTATTAGTTTATTGAAATTTTCAGTAATGGCCCGTAAAACATTTACTGTATCTCATTCCCACCAATGTGTTTGCTTTATTTTGTATACAGAGCAAACAAATAATTTCACACTGTCATTTTCCTTGCTTTAACAACTCTTAAGATAACAGCATGAACATTTGAATCAGGTGTTTGGTCACCAATGGATTTGGCATGGTGGACCGGTTCCTTGGCCACCCCGCTTTCCTGATATAAGCACCATGGATTTTTTTCTTTGGGGTGCACTGAAAAGTGCTGTGTACTGTACACAACACCTGTGGATTCCAAAATAGATCTGGTTGCAAGAATTGTCTGTGCTGCTGCAGATATCCACCAAAATTCAGGTGTATCCAATCCATGGCCCGACGGTTTAACACATGCAACGCAATATATGGTGGAAAAATGAACTTCTTTTGTGACATTTTCACATATCTCCCACAGCGCGTGTAATATCTTTGAATAAAAAATATTTCAGATGATCTCAGTCTTGTCTCTCTTTTTATTTTTTATTTGTACTTGTAGTATTAAATACTTGTGATGTCCCCTACTTCCCTTTGAAGGTCCCAATAACCCTGGTACAGCCTGTAGTACATGCAAGTTTAACTTTCCTGAATTTTAACTAAGTAGAATGTTAGAGTTTTTTAAATTTATTTTTTTTTATCTATTTATCTGTGTTATTCTTTGAGAGCAACTTGGATAAACTTTTGTTTTTAATCAACTTTTTTATTATTGAAAGGGCAATTGTACCAAAAAAATATGTTAGTATTAGAAACTGGGATTTTCAGCCTTAAAAACTAGAAACAAGTAGAATTAAAGAATAAAAGTAATTTTTTTCTTTTTTTTTCTTCCACTTCGTAATTTAAGTGTTATTATTTTTATATCGATATTTTATCTTCTATCTTTATTAATTTTATGGATGACTTAAATTTTTTTCTTCTCTTTATTATTTTTCTAAACGTAGTGAATCTCATAAATCTTTTTTTTTTCTTTCGTCATCATTTTCAGTAAATCTTTAAATATGGAAAACCAAAAATTTCAGCATTAAATAACTAAAACATATAAACCAATTCAAGATTTAAATATAATTTTTTCTTATTACTTTCTTATAGTGTTTTTTTCCTATTCTGAAATTTCTATTTTTTTTTTTTTTTAATTTTAAATCTGGAAATTAAAGTAATACAGGAAACAGATTTTTAAAGCTCAAGTATCTAGATTCTGTTGATTTTATGCTATACAGAGCTTTTATTATAGCATAAAAGAAATTCTTATTAGTTGTTTTAATAAATATTTTTAAAAAGTGTTTTTTGGGAATTTTAACCTTTTTACTTTTAGTTGCTTTTCTTAAATTAGAAATAACTTTTTTTTAGGCACTCAGTAAAGTCTTTCATAGAGGTCTTGGCATGGATAATCAAACAAAGCATGAAGTCACTGTAAAAGTATATGTGTTAAAAAAGATTCTTATTATGAATCAAAGGTAACTTTTTAATTATTTAGACTATTAAAATACTATTGAAATGTGAAGTACTAATTAGAATTGAACTGATTCTAATACCTGCATTCTTATTAACTTTTTAAATATTAATTTTAAAGAAACTTCGTAATGTTCTATATGATTTTTGCTGCTAATGTTATGTGGGCTTGAATTTTTAGCATGAATATTTTGAAAGAGTTTCTTTTGATTTCAATTGATTTTTCTGTTTAATAGTTTTTTTTCTACATATTGATGCAGTAAGCTCCACTTAAAAAAATACCATTTGTTTCTTCCAAGAGTAGATCATAAGAAGAGATACAAATTATTGACCTTCAAAACATTTGCCATCTTCAGGTAAACTTGAGTTTTATGATTCTCAAGCGGCACCTGAGTGTTCTTTTCTATTTTTACTTAGTTCACACCTCTCTCTTTAGTCAGACTTGGTTTGTGACATTTATTTATTTTATTTTTTTAATCATGAGTATAAAATTTTTATTACAATATAGCCTGCGTAAGATTTTTGTGACAATACACTCAACATTCATTTAAATTTTTGAGTATTATAACAAATTTTGATTTAAAAACAAGTGAATGCCTTCAGCTGAAAATTTTTTTAATGAAGACTTATCTGACTTGTATATTTGGTTCTAAAAGTTAATAAGCAATTATTGTTCGAACAATTAGTTTTAATATTACATGTGCTATTTCAATCTACTAATGTAATTTAAAGAGTATACTCGTGTTGCTTATCTTCTCAAAAATGAGCTGTGAAAGACTATTTGTATACACTTGTGTGGTTAAACTTTTCAAGTTGTATATTATTTTAAGTCTTCCATCATTTCTATCATCCTTTTAAATTCTTTCTGCATTTCTGTTTATTTAAAAAAAAAAAACTTGTTTAAAATATTTTAAATTCATATGATAATTCTTTAATAGGAAAGATTTCTATAAGAAAAGAGAGCTTTAAAAAATAAAACTTGATATGCAAAATGTTCTGGTGTTATTTGATATGTAAAGTTGTGTTAAGCATAATTAGCAGTAAATTCATAAATTTGTTTTATTTTAAAGAGAATGAAAAAAAAGATATATGTTTCAAAATGAATTTAATTTTATAATTCTTTGAATGTTGAGATTGTTAAACTAGTAAAAATATTAAACTCAAATAAATAAAAAAAGTCATTTGGGTTTGAAATGTTAAAAATGCATTTCCAAACTTTGTTAAAAAAAGGCAGTTTTTATTTAGTTATTTGATCAAACAATTATCAAAAATGTATATTGCTGTACATTATTCTAAACAGAGTAAAGAAATTTCTTACTCCCATCATGTAAGGTAAGAGAAAGACAACTTCTAAAAGTTTTAGGTATTGCTAGAAAAATAATTATATAAGAGTAATTTGCTTTTCAGAAATAACAGATGCCTATAAACTATATATGATACAATACCACTCAGCATTGAGTTTTAAAAATATTTTACTCGAATAAAATTAACTACTGGACAAAAACAAACAATAAGCATACTCATTTTCTTGACTATTTACTAAATTCTAAAGCAATTTTTTACTTATTTGTTATGTAAAAATTATCTTCTAATGCTTTTATATTTGAATTTCATAAAGTACCTGTAGATAAGTAGTACTATTACTATCTATAATTCCAAAGTGCAGTTATGCTAAATAATGCTGGGACTTTATTTTCTTTTAATTAATTGTTGAACTCATTTAAAAAATATAACAGAACTAAATAGCACAAACATTTATGAAATATATGTCCTTATTCAGATAATATGCTTTAAAACATAGTTTTAACTGAGAAGAACTTGATCAACATAAGTAATTTTATCTTCATTTTGTTTTTGCAAATAATTCTATTTTCTTTAAATTTCGTATTTGTTGTCTTTTTTATCATTTAAATAGCATATAATCATTTTTCGCATTTATTTTATTTTTTTTAGATTGTGAATAAAGCTAAGAGGAAATGGGAAATAAATCTTCATCGTCTGGACAACCTTATGAAGTGGAAAATGAAGTATGGAAGTTTTCTTTCTTGTTTATGTGTGATTTTGGTATATTAACTTCTTTTTTGAATGCATAAATCATTTTTTTAAAATCTTTTTTCTTCTTAAATAGGATCAAACTTATAATTATCAAATATTGCAATTCATACTCATTCTATTTAAGAGTAAAACATCAAGATTTGTATTCAACAGATTTCTGAAGCATCATTTGAAGGCTTTTCAGATTCTGATTAGAAATGTGTGCAAATAAATAGATTTAAATTAAAACTTTCATTTTTAATTTGAAAACAAAGAGTAAAGTTGAAAGATAAGTTATTTAAAATACAATTTATTTATTTTAATTATTTAACTTTTCTTTAATTTTTTTAAACATTATTAAATTGATTAAAATTTTTGCTTCGAGTTATTTAAGAAATTTGCTTTTTTTTCTTGCTACTCTTTATCCCCTCACCGTGATTTTTGGTTGTCAAAATCAAGATGTGGGCTTAATCAGTTTTATATGGTACATATTATTAAAAATATTTTTAAAATTATATTTTCCACATTGATTTAGATTTAAATCCCCTTCTATGAAAAAAAATCATGGATCATTTTTATGAGCGTAATCTTTTATGAACAATATATATACCACATGTGTTAAATATTTATGCTTATTATAACTTAAGGTGGCTCAGTAATCACCGATGTAACATTGAAAGTAATCATGTCAAAAACCAAAGAGAGTAGTCCCTCAAACCAACTCATAAAAACTATTTTTGTTTCGGTATCCTAGATTATTTTTATTTGACTATGATTTGAAGTAGATTTTAAAGTAACTGGTAAAGCGAATATACTTTTGTGTGAATAACTTTTTTCTTAACCTTCATTATGTTATATTATCTATATATTATGTGGGTTGACTCTTTCAGGCTCTTACTCGACTTAACTCTGCTGGCACTTTTTACTTGTTTCTCTAATTTTGTCTGTAAATTAGTCTTGTGATGAAAATAAAATCTTATTTATATATGAAGTTTTTAAAATTCTTTTTGTGAAGACTTTTTGCAACATTTACCTTCTTTAGCTTTCTGAAATTGTCAAAATTATTTTAGGAGCTTGCTGAAAGAAGTGGCCATGAAGAAAATGTACATCCACCTGATGGGGGTAACATAATATCTTCTGTGCAACACTCAAATATTGCATCTGAAAATCAGGGAGAGCTTGAATCTCGGGGAACAGTATGTGTAAATAATTTTTATGTGGCTTAGCTTGTGTATATCCATTATTAACTAAAGTCAAAAGTTATTACCAACATTTTTGTAGTTTAGATATAAACAGATTCATTTACATAAATTATATTAACTATCATGAAAATAACTAGCATGATATTAATTATTACATATTTCAAACTGAAAAATTTAATTTTAATTATTTTCGTACTTAATGTAATAAAAACTCTTGTTGAATACACAATTGTCTCCTTTCAACAGTTTCCCTGCAATGAATTTATCCCTTTATACATTCTGATTAATATTCAAAATATTCTCTATGCAATGAAATAGTTGTCACCCAATTACAAATTCAGTTTTATTTTTCTTAAATGTTCATCATTTTTGACAAAAGGTGGAATTTCTGGGCAACCAATTCGTTCTCACACCTGCATGTTTTAGAACAACTTGTTTATTCATTAATATGATAAAAACTAATGATTTGAATAAATATTTAATTTGCATAAATTCATTTTTTATTATGTTGTAGTTAGGGCTCTACAAATTGTGCAAAGATGTGGATTACCTCATAATTTACAATTGTCTATGGTAAGAACTCCCCCCGCCACAAAGTCTGAAATTGTCTGCTGCTATAAAAACAAGACTGGCGCATTTCAGGGAGAGTAGCTTCTCTTAACTCTAGGGCTAACACAATAGACCAGAGAAAAAGCTTACCTTTCTCTCACCGACCCGAGCCAAAACCTGTCCTTAACAGTGACCCCACACCCCTACTTGATACAGTTATACCGTAATTACCGCCACTGGTCCAGAAAAATGGCTAGGGGAGTTCTTACTTTAGACAAGCTATACTTAATAGCTGAACATTTGCTTAAATTTATTTTTAAAGAAAATTGCCTTCATTTACCACAGGGTTGGCTGGTTAAAAAGATTTTTTTTTAAAAAATAAAGTTCTTTTAAATAAAATATTTTGAAAAACTTATTTTTTTATTATTTATATAACTCCCTTCAGTATAAATATAGCCGAATGAAAAAATAACAAATATTTCCATAGACTCTATGATTTGGAGTGTAATTGCTAATGTGAGTCTGTGTTACTTTAAGTAAATATGTATGATATGTATTTTTTAAATGTATATAGTATACTTTGGTCTTCTACAAAAAAATATATATAAAATAATTGTTAGTAAATTTAAAGCCAAGTCGTAATGTCTCTAAAAATTTTTTAAATACCTCTGACAATGACTAACTCCATATTCTGATAGTTTTTAAAATTGTTTAATTGTAATTATAAGAACAGATAAAAACCTTCTCTCTTGTTAAACAGTATGTTATGCTTAGTGCAATCAAAAGAATAAATGGGAATGAGTGGATTTTCTGAATTTTAGATCATATTTGGTTGTTATTTTTTAAGTTTCTTCTGGTATCAAATTAATCAAAATTTTATTGTGTACAATTGAACCTGTTTATCTCAAACCTCTTTATCTGAAAAACCTCATTTTAAAATTTTCAACATTTACTGTCAGAAATCAATGTATTTTCCATGTTTATGTTGAAATTTTTTTTCTTCTAAACCTCTGTTTCTCGAATTTCTAATAATAGAGCACAAATGCCAAAACTTTCTTTATCGGTAAAACTTGCAGACAGAGATTAATTTCGTGATCCCACAGGAAGTAGGGATAAACAGGTTAGGAGTGTTTCATGGAATTTCAAACACTATCCTTAACTAGAAAAGAATACAATGATTCTGTCTGTAAGTGAGGGTTGACGAAGTGACCACCAGGGGTTAGCTTTTTAACATAGATAAGAAAGCTAGGAATAGAAATTCATTTTCACCTCAAAATTGCAACCAATTGATCAAAGGATAATTAGGAGTTTTAAAATGTACTATAGAAAACAGTTGGTACGCAAACTTATAGATGCTATCCATAAAAAGTTCTTTTCCAAAAATAAAGGTGTTGGATGCTATCAGAATGACTGTTATGCCTGGAGAAATGTGTCTCTAAAAACTATCCAAAATGGTTTTAAGAACAACTGTGAAGATGACGAGCAAGAGGTTGAAGGCATCAGTAAAGAGGAAGAAACTGGTAATGCTGGAAATGCAGTGCCTGATTTGTAAGAATGGAATGCAAGAAAATTTGGATTTAGTGTTGAAATTAATTAAAAAGATTTTTTACTAACGGACAACTGTCTGGCAACATGCGGAACATTGACAGATTGAAAAATCTTTGATAATGTCAAAGGAATATCAGATGAAGAAGCTGGATATCATATTGATGAACCAAAAGCAAATGCAAAAGAAGTAGAAAAAGCTGTAGAACTCTTATAAACTATTCTTGAATCACAGGAAAATGTTGGCTATGAGGAATTTGCTGTTCTTTCTAACCTTAAAAGAATAATGGAAACTAAGAAGTTAAGACGTCAAAAATCTTTGAAAAGTTATTTTTAGTGTTAATTGTATGTTTAAAAAATGCTATGTAAATAGATATATGTGGTATAATTAATTTACAGAAATGCCTATATTTTTATACTAAAAACAATTAAAGCACTTTTAATAGATTTTCTCAATTAACCTAAATTTTTTTCAAGTACCTGTATAACTCGAAGCCTCTTTATCTCAAATTTTTCCCCTTTCCCGTGAGATTCGAAATAAACAGGTTCAACTCTATACGCAGTAGGTTTTTCTAATGATTTTAATGATTTCAAAATAAACTGCTTTAATAATAGAGTATAATTAAAAACATTGAATAGTATTCCAAGTTCATTTGAGGTATCAATCTTGTTTTGACACATTTTTTTTTTTTTAAAGTAAGGCTTAAAAAAAAAATTATGTTTGGCAAGCAGGTGTTTAAAAATTATTATAAGTTCAAAGTAAATATTAAAAATTTAAAGAACATTTTTCAAAATAAGGACAGATTTGAGTTTAAAAACTACAATATTTTCATGCCACAACATTTCTGCAACAAATTGTAATGCATAAATTATAATTATGTGTAGCATATTAATTAAAGAAAGTCAATTTAAACAAAATTAAGCCTTTTGGATATTTAGATTTAAATATGCTATTATGTTTTAGGAAAAATTCATTTAAACGTATGCCTCCCATTTCTTTACTAACTAGTTTTAACATTTTCATGTTTATATTTTGTAGAGTGTAGAAATGGCTAGTAATTCTGATTCAAAAACATTTACTGTGCCTGAAGGGAGTGAATTATCTGGTGAAAGTGAACCCGTGCCAAACCAACAAGATATAGATGAAGCTAGTGATAATGACATTAAAAGAGCTTTACTTAAACGCAAGTATGTGTTTGAGCTTTCTCATTTTAACTAGAATTTATTTATAAATTATTATACTTATTTAAATAAAAGGTAAGTTATTTAAATAAAAGATAAGTTGCTCCAAAGCTCAAAACAGATAAATTAAAAAATTTAGGTACAAAAGAAATTTGTGAAATTTTTTATTTTTGACATCTGTTATGAAGTTATAATTTCTTTCAAATTATCATATGGTTACAATTTAAAAGCATTAAAAAAATAAACAATGCATCCTATTACATTGATTCGTTTGAAAAAATTCGATATTAATCTTTTATAAAAAGTTTTAAAAGAATAGAATTTCTGACTTAATTAACTATTTTAGATATTTTTCTGTTTAATTTAACTACTGCTCATACAACCATATAAATAAATCTTTAATTACATATTATAAACTAAATTTAATTAAAGTACTTCAGTTCTGATGTAAACTTCTGATTTGATAATCCAGTTGTATTTAAAAATCATTTGATGGAAATCAAGCTAACTTCCATCTTACATGCAATATCTCTATTTTTTTTTTTTTTTTTTTGAATTGTACATTGCTTCCTGTCAAAGATAAATACTTAGTAAAATATTTTACTGGCTGGTTATTACTTCTGGCATGAATCTAGACATCATTCTTCAAAAGGCATAGAAAAAAAAACTTGTTACAATTTGTAGTTTTCTTTGAAATTTTCTTACTTATTAAAATTTTCTTTGAGATGTAATGTTTTCAAAATTCTGATATTTTTCTCACATACATTTCTGTATATGAAGTCACTCAATAATTAATAGAGAATTTTAACATATTAAACAGTTAATAAAGGGGTAAAGCATTTTTATTGTTTTGTTATCGAGCACCAGATATTTCATTAACTGCTTATACTTTTTAATATTAGTGCAATTTCTTAAAAATGTTTGTAAAACTCTGTTGTTACTTATTCTTACTGGCCTTTTGTTTTTATAATTTTCAGTTTTTATGCTTGCATAAGTTATGGAAATCATATTAAATTTAGATTGAAAGTAATTTGCTATTTTCGGAAATCTTTAAATTTATTATTTAATCCTACCACTATGTACTGCATTTAACTAAAAAAATTTACTTTGTTCTAGGTATGTTCTTCAAGAAATGGTAGATACTGAAAAAGATTATGTAAGAGATCTCAGAGATTTAGTGGAGGTAGGAATGTTGTTTATTTACCTGTTATTTCATACTTTCTGTACAAAGTGTGAACTAACTTATTGTGACCTATTTTAAAAAGGAATATGTAAAATTCTCGCATGCAAGTAATAAGAAATACATATCTTGATGATACATGATCGAGATAAAAAATTGCCTGGTATAGATAAATATGGTCTGTATTTCTATTGAAATTTTCCTGATGTACCTGAAAAAGTAAAAAAGAAATTCTAAAATTTAGTGGGAATCCTGTACTTACAATAACTTTGTAATTTTAAACCCGATCCAGAAAATAAGTGAACTCATAGATCTAGTATTAGGGCCTAACTAGCCTTCCTCGAATTCTTTTTGATGGAACTAGCTTGCATTTGCGTTACCTGGAGAGGAAAACCTCCCTTGTTTAGCTTGACAGCAAAGAGATTCTAATCTATGATCCGTTTACCACTGAAGATATTTTACATCGGCGCAAGCCGAGAGCAACCTCCGCTGCTTCAATTCGAACCTAGATATATTCTTTTGATTGTTTTTGAAAAAGTAACTTGAGCAAGTTTGACTTTTTTTACCATTTTAGTTTTTGAAAGAAATATTTTTGTAAGTAAAAGTAATAGCCCAGTCGAATTAATCTTTTGGTTCAAACTAATTCCCAGAAAGCTGGAAATTATTTTATTTCACTTTGATGTTTTGCCACTTTTTTAGTTTTTGCCTCATAACATATAAAAAATATGCATCATGTGGAAAATTTAATATTTTATAAAATTAAAGGTCAATAAATTCCACATCGAATGTTATATCTAATCGCTAAATTAAATAATAAAATTGATTTAGCGATTTGGTCAGAATCTGTAATCAAAAATGGGCAAAATCTTTTGCTTTGGTCGGAAAAAAAAAAAAGCATCATGCTTATTTTAAACACTTGTAACCTTAAAATGCCTTTCCAAATGAAAAACAGAAATTAAAAAATTTAAAAAGATTTAGATCTGCTTTCTAGGTACATATTGTTTTAAAGTTTTGTTTAAATCTTCGCACAGATATACACAAATAACCACACAAAAAAACAGCTCTCATTTTCGTGGTTATGGCCTTTCTATAACTAAACTGGCCTTTCCCTATTAGGCTTCTCGGTTACACACTCTGCCTTACTACTTTGAGGGTTATCCACTTATAGTACAATACAATACAGTACAATAAACTTCTATTCTGCTTTATTCTTTCATTCAAGTTTCAGCCATTGCTAAAATTAAGTGTTACATAATGGTTGGATTAAGGTATGACAGAGCCTGAGGCTGATGTACAACTTGGAGCCCAACCTATACTAAATTATCCTAAATTTACCTGTATTTAGAAATATTGAATTTTTTTTATAAAATTCAGTTCCAGTTAACTTGTTTCACTTTTTTTTTAAAAAAAAGCTGAAAATCGAAAGAAAAAAAGTTTGAAAGTTTTAATTTTTTTACAAAAACATTAACATTCCATTAAGTTTCCAGTCAACAAAATATTTCCTGAATGAAATTATAAATGCTAAGTAATTGTAAGAATAACATAAAAAATTTAAGCAGAAAGCATACAAATTTTCTGTTCTTACTAAATTTGTTACATACTTGCCAATCAAGACCCATAGGAAATTGTAACTTTTTTGTAGATAGTTACAGAAAATTAGTTAGAAAAACCAACAATTCCAGACTCATCAATGTAAAAATAAAATACTGAACAGGGTGGTCAAACACTTATCTACTCACGATTTCCAGAACACCTCAGCTAATCCTATACTGAAATTATTTATTGATCTTTAATCTTGTTATAAATTAAATTTTACCTATGATGCATGTTTCAGATGTTATACTGAAAAAACTAAGGAAGTGATGAAAATTTAGCAGTCATTTTTGACTCTTTAAAAGTTAAGCTCACTTTGAAAATTGTTGCAAACTTGTATTATTCTTGATTGATACACCTAAAGTAAAACAAAATAATTTCCAACTTTCTGGGAATGAGTTTGAAGCACAGCATTTTTTCGATCTAATTTGACTTAGCTATTACTATTTTTGCTAATTAATATTTTAATGTTTTTGTATAAAATTTCCTACTTTGTTTTCTGTTTTAGGGATACATGAAGCTGATGCGTGATGAAACTATTCCAGTTCCTGAAAATCTCAAAAATGGGAAAGATAAAATTATATTTGGAAACATAGAAGCAATTTATGAGTGGCATAGAGAGTAAGTAACTTTTTATATTTGTTTGGGATGTTTGTTTAAAGATTTCTTTGTCTCGTTACATTAGTATCACTACAATTAAATTTAAAGATTATGAAACTATATACATTTTATTTACAATATACTAAGATGATATTTTAGACTAGGACATATAATACCAAGCCTACTTTGAACGGTGTAGCATTATATATCATAAGTTGCTCATGTAATTAACTTCTACATTTAATGCCTATGTAAGCTTAAAAATAGCTTTTCAAAATAAGTACCATCTCATCCTTTAATAAAATATTCAGCAAGAGAATGAGAGTAAGTGCAACCAATAATATTAAAAAGATAATTAGGGAACTGTGTGTAGTACATGAAGTTAATAAATATGAATAATATAGATTTATTTGTATTTTTATGTTTAATTGTTCTTCTAATAATAAATTTACCTAAAATTATTTAATTTAATTTTTGTTTTTATTTCTGATTTATTAGCATTCCTATCAGTTTTATATATATATCAGTGTTTTCACTACAGCACGAGAATCTCATATTTTTTTCTTTACTCGCAATAAAAAAATTTAACGCAAGAAGTTCGCATACTCTATTAATAAATTTCAAAATGCGAGAATTTTGGAAAAAAAATTCGTCTTTTGTCATTTTGAATAAAATCCGTTTCACTTTTCTTCCTTGATCTTTCATTATTTTCAACACGGATCCCTGTTATCTAGCTTCCCTATTTACCAGTATTGTTCAGAACCGGTGCGAACAGCAGAACACCACCCCCCGGAACCCCTTTCAGAACACATTTCTCTGCAACCACGTGTTCACCGTGTTTCTTCATGTAAGACGTTAAAAAAATTTTGTGCATGAATGTAAGATGGACAAATACCTTGTTAAGGCGATATCTTCTACTCCGTAATGGACAAATGAAAATGAAGCAAATGTCGGTGGAAATGGTCAAAACGAAACAAATACGGATATTTTTCAGCCAAATAAATATAATAGCTGATGAAAAAGTAGATACAGAACATTTTCCATATGATGATGCAGCAAAAATATTCAATTAGAAGATGTTAAAAATGTATTATAATTAAAGAAATAATTTTTTTCCAAGTCTTCGTGTTTTTTTAATTTTTAGCAATCTCACTTAACTTTTTGAAATCCCACCCTGTTTTTTAGAAAGGGTGAGAAATTCTCTCCCATTTTTTTTCTGTAATGAAAACACTGTGTATATATATTTTTTAAAATGATTTTTCTGACTTCACAATTTTTTAATCCTGCTATTAGGGCTTATGTATTCTCTTCACTAGATAACTTTTCTTTTCTTCACTAATTAGTTGATAAATTTTCTTTTCATGTGAGACTAAATAAATAACTTTTTTTTTAAATTTATTCAGTTTTTTTGAACTCGTGTATATTAAATAGAATTGTTTCTTATTATTTTTTATAAAAAAATAATTTCCTTATTCTTCAGTTTATTTTGCACTGAAATTGATAAATGCCTCGAAGAGCCTGAGAGACTAGGTCCTTTGTTTCAACGCTGTGAAAGAAAGTTGCAAATGTATGTTGTATACTGCCAGAACAAACCAAAGTCTGAATACATAGTGTCTGAATATGTTGACACATTTTTTGAGGTAACTTTAACTTTTTTATATCAATACTTATTTTTTATTTTGAAAGTTCTAATAGTACAAATATAATATAGAAAACCCTATATCTTTCTATATAATATTTTTTAAATAAAACATTTCCCTTATTTAAATATTAAATAAGTTCTTGGGTGGGCTCTTCCATAGAGGATGTACCATCTTTCCCTTTCCCCAAGGCTGATGAGATATCTCCCCCAAAGAAAATTAAAAAAGTCTCCCTATTTTGGCAAAGAACAAAAGTACTTGTAACTTTTTTTATTCAAGTAACATATTCTTAATTTTTTCTGAATACTCACTCAATTACTTTACATTAAGTAAAGGCACATGTTTTGACCCTCAAAGCCTTGATAATTTTTTTATTTTTTTTTTTGGAAAAAAGAAAATGTGTTTCCAGTAGTTATACCTAAAGAACATACCCTTAAAATTTCAACAAAATGAAAAATGTCAAATATCAAACCTTGCCTAATTTGCCAGTCTTTTTTTTAAAAAAAGAAAATGTAGCATGAGTAAGTAGTAAAGATAAAACCAATTTATAGTTTTTAACATAAAATGTTTGAAGATTCTGAAGTTATATATTGGTTTTAAAATTATCTTAAGAATATAATTCAAGAATGATTTTTTGTAGATTTTTTAATTTGCTGAAATATTTTTTGCTGATCTTTTATTTTCATTAAATTTTTCTAATAGTTCTTATTGCAAAATTTATAACATCTTAAAAATGGAAAAAAAAATTGTACAAAATATTGCTAGTCCTTTAAGGCAGCAAAATTATATATATTGATAGAGAGCTCATATCAGTATAGAGTTCAGTTTGTTAGAGAGCTCATATCAGTATATTTCTTCATATTTTATAATTTATACTGAATCATTTTATCTGACTAGTTGTTTAATTTATTTGGTTAGTTTTGAAGATGAATTTAATATAATACCAATACCTAATTTGCTGAATAAACACTGTTTATTGATTAAATTTCACTAGCTCTTAGTAATGGTGTTATTAAGGCATTGCATTTTGAAATAAAAGAACGAGTAATCTTTGTTGATAGCATTTACTGACTATCAAATGTCACATATTTTCAAATATTAAAAGTTTATTTGGTAGTTCTTGATGTAAAACTGTTGTGCATTTTAATTGATGGCTAAGACTTGTTTTGCTGTTACCACATATACATTTATAAGTTGTATTTTGTCAATTATTAAAATAGTGCAATTTTGATCTTATCCTAATTTTTACCTTCCTATAGGTTATATTGACTTATAAATCTCTTGAAAATGATGAGCTTATTACTCATCAGATGTAAAAAGGAAACATTTTGTCTTTATATGCCACTTCGTCTACTAATTAAAAAATAATTCTTTATTATCAGGAGGCTCGGCAGTTTTTGCAACACAGGCTTCAAATACAAGACTTATTAATTAAACCAGTGCAGAGGATAATGAAATATCAACTTCTCTTAAGAGTGAGTTTTGTATTTATTTCTTGTAATTTTTCATTTATTGTTCATTGGTTTTATTTACAATGTGTTGTTTAGGAATTTGTGAAAGCTACCGAAAGAGCTAAGCTTGAAAATGAAGCTGTCAGTTTGAGGAAGGCTGTGCAGATAATGCATGTTGTTCCAAAATCAGCAAATGACATGATGAATGTTGGTCGTCTACAAAACTTTCCTGTAAGTCCTTTACTTACTATTTTGGTTAACTAAGTATCAGCTGATTCTGAAATATAGAAACATGTTTTAAAGTGTCTAGGATCAGATGATTCTTGCTAAGCACATAGAATTGCTTTCCCTTTTTCTGAAATTCCAATCGATGTTGATTCTAGAATTTTTAAAGCTATTTTTTATATTATTATTGTTATAACGGTTATAAAAAGACAAAATTTTGCCATTTTAAAATGTAGCATTAGCTAAACCAAGTTTCTGAGGAATTTAACACTTTAGTTAAAGGATTCTATAATACTCATTTCTTAATTAAAACTTTCTTTCTAAAGAACGGAGAGGTTGTGAACAACTGATTTCTTGTGTTTGGCTTACTCGATTATTGCTAGTGTGTGAGTTACACACTGTCTAGTCAAAAGTATCCAGATTTCCAGTGGTAGAAAATTCCACTAGGTTTTGATAGGTGGCTATAAGAATTGACTTTCAGTCGTCCATCATGACTGAAGTCTGTGATGGCAGTGAGGATAGTTAATTTGGCTAGCTATGCAATCTGCATTCTAATTCATTCCAAAAGAGTTCTGTGAGATTTAGATCGAGGCTATGAGAAGGCCAATCAGTTTTCAAGCATTCTGTTCACAAACCATGGTTTTGCAACTCTTGATGTGTAAATGGATCAGTTATACTCAAGAAACAGAAATATACCTTCCCCGAAATTTTACAACAGAGTTGTGAGAGCAGCATTGTCTAGAATGTTTACATATATATTAGAGTTCATGTTTCCAATCAAAGGATCTAAGGCACCCAGGCCAAACTATGAAAAACACCCCCACACCATGATGCTTTGGATGAGTGTGGATACTTTTAGCCAGATAGTGTACTACCCTACTGCTTTTCCTGTATAGAAGGAAGAGTCTTTTTGTACTTCAAGATAGGTAGTCTTACTAAAAGTGATGACTCTTACTCATCTAACTTTCATGTTCATGCCTAAATATGTTTTGAAAAATGGGACAAAAGTTAGTTAAATCTCTGTTGTATTATTTAGACTAAATGATGTTTCATATAAAATGCTGTAAAAAAGTACATTTTTAGTCCTAAATAAGAATCTTTTAGATTATTGTTTACACAGTACTATTTGTAATGAATCACTGACTACCCATCAGCTGGTTGAATTTGCATCTTAGAATGTGGTGTTGTTGTTGAATATTACCGAGATCTATTTGTCTGTGGTGCTTCATGTTTTTGTAACTATCATGCACTGGTTTGTTGTCTCTCTCATTGCAGGTCACATGCTGTTTATTTAGTCATGCCTTGTTCTATAGGCGAAATTAAAGCATCTAACTGGCAACACTGGAAAAAAACTCATTTTGTTTCCTATTTTTGTGAAAGTTGCATGTTGCTAAGTATTTATAGATTTGCAGATTTACTTCTAATACAGAGTTTTAAAACAAATCAATAAATGTAATTTTTTTTTCTTTTTAATATTCAATGTCTCTGGAACAGTATTTGGAACTTCACTAATCAATTATTACCACCAATAATTTATCTTAGCAATGTTAACCACATTGCCACTATCATCCAGTTGATCAAGAGATAATGGAGAAGTGACCACTATGACCCCTAAGTATCACATCAGGCTGTTGCAGGATTGCTGTCTTTACTTTGTTGACTTTCATTTCTTTGCATCTAGATATAAAGTAAAGGATCTAAAATCTGCAAAATACTTATATCCTCAAAGTGTTTGCTTCTCAATTTCTGGATTTCTGAGTTAACTGCATTAGTATTCTTTTTGTTTTTTGTTGTTTTTTTTATGCAAATTATTATGAGTTGAGGAAAGTATTTATCCCTCCATATAATTTGTTTTGAGTGAAAAATTTCGTTCTCTCTGTACCAGATATTCTATGCTTTGTCACTAAATTATAATTTTTTTCAATGACAATTTTTACTTTAACACGATTAAGCCTGTATATATATTTATAGTTGTTCAATTATTTGGATTACTAGCTATTACTGATTACAAGACAAACAAGAATAAATTAAACAAAATAAACAACAAAAAGAAAATAGCAATTTATAAACGTAGGCTAAAACTGAAATTAATAATTTTTATCTGTATTCATTTTTTTAAAGGTTGGTAATTTGGGTTTAAGGTGAAGAAAAGAAACTACCAATGGACAATTTCTAAATGGCCAAAACTGTATTAAATATATATATATTTTTGGCAAATATTTTTGTTTTCTACTTGACTCAAATTTCTAACAATTTTGAGTTATTTTCCCACAGGGTAAAATTACTGGACAAGGTCGTCTCTTACATCAAGGTTTGCTGCAAGTTTCAGATCCAGCTACAGGAAAAATGAAAGAACGTCAAGTGTTTTTGTTTGAGCAAGTCATTATATTTAGTGAAGTTGTTGGTGCAAGGAATCAATTTTCATCACCATCATATTATTACAAAAACCATATTGCAGTAAATATACTTTTATATACTCTCATAATGTGTTATTTAACTTCTTGAGTACAAATGAAAAATGTGAGCCCTTGTTTAGATGGTTTTTTACTGTAGTATCTTTGAATCAGCCTTATTTATAAATATTCAAGTCGAAGTTGATTCATTTTGCCTAACTAATTAAACTGGTTTTGTTGTGTGTGAGAATGGACTCGGGCTATAAAACTGACTAGTTCAGCCACAATATAAATCTTGATTGAGTTTACTAAAATTAAAATGTTGATACTGAACAAAAATTTTGATAGTTTTGGTTTTCAAAAAATCATTGGACATGGAAAATTGACATAGATTTATAGGAAACTATTGATATATGATACTCATGCTTGTTTAAATTGGTGTTCAGGGTGAAGAAGATGAGGTAAACAATGCATTCAAATTTCAGCAAAATCCAAAATGAAATTTTAAAAAGAAATTCTGGAAATAATTTTGTGAAAAACTTAAGTTTTCAATTCTCTGTTGCCATTTTTTTAACATTGTGCCCATTGAGATTCCAAGGAATAAATAAAAAACAAATGTAAATTTCTGAAACTTTTAACCATAAACCATAATTTTTACAATGTTCAAACATTAAGTTTTACAGTGTTAACAGTTTTCAAACCATTGAATTTCACTTTGTTGACAGAGGCCTTTATGTGTGCAGACAATAAAATGGGAAAAATGAAGAAAGTACCTAAAAGATCATTTTCAATATCACTACAGGAGGTTACTTATAAAGTCTTGTGCACATTAGAATACTGGCACTCAAGGGTTAAACTTTCTAATGTAGTTGGGAAACAGTATTTTTAAATTTTCTGACTAACCATGCTAATTGTATCTAGGTAAACAAAATGGCTCTTGAGGAACGCACAGAGGACAATGATCCTACTAAATTTATGCTCAAATCTAAAGATCCTTCTCAGCCTGGGTTATCTTTCGTTATTCAAGCAAAATCAGTGGATGATAGAAATGATTTAGTTGCACTAATACGAAGCATTCTTGATACTCAGATGGACTTTCTTAGAGGTATATTTCAGATATAATAATTAGCTTTAATTTTTTCCTGGTTGTGTAACATTTTATATGATGGGGGTGGTAGTTTTCCGGGCCACCCTGGAATTCCGTGTTTTAATAAATATTTTCCGCCATTTCATTTCTTTTTGCTGACCCATTTTTATTTTCTTATATTTTACCCAGCAAGAAGAAAAGATGGGGAGGGGGAAAGATTACTAGGGATATCACATTTCCTGTCCAGCCGAGTGGGTGTGGTTTCTCTCTGTTGTGTGTGTGTGGGGAGAAGGGAGAATGTTCATTCTTTCTCCACCACTCTTTCTTTCACTTTTTTCCCATAAACCAGTATATGTATTTCTATTGACAGTTGAAACAGGGAAAGCGAGATTTTTATCGTTTTTTTAGGGGTAAAATGATATTTAATTAGCAAAATAATATATAGTATGATAAAATAAATGTCACTAAAATCTTGATAAGTAATCAGACAATTAATTGAACTTTCTCAGGAATAATGATGCGTTTTGTCTCTTTTTCCCCCCCTTTTCATTTGATTTGAGGAGTTTAGATATTCAGATAAAAATTAGAATTGCAGAGTGCAGATGTTCAAACAAAAATAACATTAATAAACAAGCTTTAATTTTGAAGGGATAATCCCTCCTTTTTAATAAAAGGAAAATATTATTAATGAATATTAGTTAAATAAATTTTTTGTAATGGAAACATAATTTAAGCAAAAGCAAAGTCTGTGTGCTGATGTTTCTTTCAATCATCATTTATTTTCATCTTCAATGATATTCATAGTTTATTTTTCTTTAACCATTTTTGGGGAGTTGGTTGCTTGGAAATTGGCAATACGTTCTACATAAATTTAAACTAGAAAATATCCTCTTGCCTCCCAGCAGTTTGGTACAATCCTGACTGTAGGGTGCGAGATATCTGTCAGGAATAGTAACTGCATTCAATCGGCGGTAGTCCCCACATAGTCGGCAGTCACCATTTGCTTTTCGGACCATATGTAAAGGACTTGACCAAGGAATTTTAGAAGGGTATAATTTCCAGTGACATTTGGTAGGAAAATTCCTTTTTCATTGCTTCCAAAAGTTCCGGCCGCAATCTTCTAGGTTAAGCAAACACAGGAGGGCCTGTAGTCTCAATGAAGTGAAAAACCAGAATATTTAGTTTCTGTTTACCTAAACAGCAAAAATTTTTCAACATTGGAAACTTTGCAAATTTTTCTCACATTCTGTCAAAGGTGCATGCAAGGTAGCTAAATTAAAAGTGAAATCTTCGTTTTGGACTCTGAATCCGGATGACAAAAGTTTTGTATTTGCATCAATCAAGCAGTTGTGTTGAGAATTGACCAGCAAATTGAAATTTTTGAGAAAATCGACATTGTTTATAGGTTGCTTAACATCAGCAACAATAAATTTCCATTGGAATTAACATCTTTATTTGAATCTAAATCTAGTAACTTTGTTCCATACATAGGAATTTCTGTACCGTTAGCAGCATAGGTTTAGTGCGGTGTCAGTCTTACAACAAAACTTAAATTTTGAAATAACAATGACATCAGCTCCTGTATCAACTAGAAATTTGATATTTGTCCTGCGGTCGGTCACTAATATTCTGGCAATTGGTTCAGCCGTTAGGCAACCACCTTTTTAGTTTTCAGCATTTTCATTGAGCCACTGGTTACAGCTCGAAATTTGTATGGACTCTTGCATTTTCTTGCTGAGGTTCCGAAATTGGTGTGGTAGAAACAAAATTCGTTAGCATGTTCCACGTATTGGTGTCTGAAAGGAGGGCACCTATTGCTTGAAAACTCATAGCTAAAAGATGAACTTTAAGACCTCGGAAAATTTTGAACAATTACCATCAAGCTAGCAACTTGATTAGACAACTCTGAAATTTGATGTTTCAGTGTAGAGTCCGGCTCTGTAGTCGAACTGACTGAAGTTTGAGGGGCAAACTCTAGAATTCAGTCAGCCATTGTTGCCAAGTTATTTAACTGTTCACGAGAAGCAACCAACCCTAAATTTATATTAGCTGGTAGTGAATCTAACCACAGTGATTTTAGTAAATCATCACTGAAATGATTTCTCGCTAAATCTCTCATTTGTTTCAACAGTTAAGATGGAAACTGGTCACCAAGTTCAACACTTTGTAATAAAGTTCGTAATTTAGAAGCTTCGCTCTCAACATAGATTTCTAGAAGTCTAGTCTTTAAAACGTAATATAGATCACTTCCAGGTGGACTGGTGATCAAGTCTTGGATGGTATCCAAAAGATGAGATTCAACAGTGGCAACAACATGATTAATTTTTATTCCTTCTCTTGTAATGCCTGCAATTTCAAATTGGGCTTCGATTTGTGCAAACCACAACTTAGGATTATTCTTCCAAAAAGGTGGGGGTTTAACTGCAACTCTTGATATTTCTGACACTGGTGTAGCTTCTGAACTTATACCTTCCTGCAATGGCATGCTTTAAAGTATTTTGGAAAATTTTGATGGAAAATTCTAATGTTGCACAATTGCATATGTTAGGAATTCAATCCACAAACTGGAATAGAAGTGCGAAATCCAAAAACACTGGTCACCATTTATCTTTGGCAAGATTGGTTGCATGTATTAAATTCTACATTTTAAATAGATCAATCATCAAAGATAATAAAGGAGAAATGTGAAATTTAAACATAACTTAAATAACATTTTAGCAATTAAATTAAAAGCATCCAGGATTATAATCAAAGACGTGGAACATAAGGAAAAAGTGTAAAGCAAAATGGAGAAAGAAAAAAATTTTACAATGGTAAATATACATTTCATCTACTTGAAATTCAGTTCAGTTCGTTATACTTCAAGAAGAAAATAACGGAGAATACATAGAAGTTTACATGTTCTCCAGGTCACCAACTTTGGTACTTGAACCTAGTATGTTGATTACTCGTGTTCTTGTTTTTTTAACAACTCTTTAAATGTGCTCATTAAAGCAGTATAAATGTTTACCAATATTAAAAGCAGCATAAGGATGTGAAAAAAATGTTTATACATGTTTTTCAAATAGATCCCAAGCGTAAAAAGAAAAAAAAAACAATTTTGTAACCATCGTTAAACAGTCAACCCAAATTTCAGCTTACAACTACTAGTGTTCAACTCCGTAGCCTTGTAATTTTTAGCCCAATCCAGAAGACAAGGGAACTCCTGAATCATTATAGAGGGTATTGATTTGTTATGGGAACTTAGAAGACATTGTGACTATAACAGATGTAATGTGCACCAGTTATAATTTAATGTGTGGGGATTCTTTGGCCCGCTGGATTCAAACTCTTGTTCTCAGGAGTCCGATGCCCTACCAACCAAGCTTTCCTGGCCCGTAAAATTTTAAAAAAATGGGGTTTTCTTATGGAAAAAGGAAAAATTTATTTTGATTTTTTGAAAGTGTCCCAAAAATGGATGCTTACCTGGAAACTGCTGAATGTGGAATTGATATATGTGTTTCTTTAAATTTTAAACAAAATGCAAATGGTTACTAACAATGAAACTCTCTAAAATATTCAGGAAAAACCTAATAACATTAAGAAAAATGAAAGAATTTTATCAATTTCTTTGTTGTCTAAACAGCAAATTTTTCCTGAATACTGCAGAGTATTTCTTTGTAAGTTTAAATTTTTGTCATTATCAGTGGTCGGAAAAACTACATTAATTTAGTAGTTAACTACATCTACTTGCAAATGTAATTATTATGTATTTTTTTTTTTAATGTAATGACTACAAACTGCTTTCATAATGTAGTCACAACATTTAGGAGATGAAGTTTGCTGGAGAACTTAATTTACAACCATGTTCAAAATGGTTTTAATGGTTAAAGATTTTGAATAAAGAATTGGCTTATTTAAACAAGAAGAAATAGTCCGACTTGTAAACTTAAGGAATTCAAACTAATAAATAAATTGACATATAGTTATTTGTGTTATATTTAATATAACGGAAAACATTCTTTTTGTTTTAACGTTACTGAAAATATTATCTTTCTTAACAGTAAATATTTAGATATGTTGGAAAATAGTCAAATATTTGTAACTTTGTTAAGTGTTAATGCCCTCTAAGAAAATTACTGAGAAAATATATTTCCTTTTGTTTAAATAACATCAATGTTTCTTAAGTGTATATTTGCATTAGAAGGTGTAGCCAAATTGATAAATTAACTATTATTTGTAATAACTAGTTTAAATATTCGTGCTACAAAATTCCTATTAATGCTCGACCGCAAGGGCATTCTCATTCTGTCCATTGATCGACCTGTGAAGATTTTTACTAATCAGATTCAAAAAATTCATTACATTAGTACCTTGCTCCTTTCTGTGTTCTAAAATTTCTACGAACTGCTGTTTTTTTTTAATCTTACTACTTACTGCACTACTTTTTTTTAAAAAAATTAGCAAACCACACTACAAAGAGTAATGACTACAGTAATTTCCTTACTTGTAGTGTGGTTCTTCCGACCACTGTTCATAATATTGCATATTTTATAATCAAATGCAAAATAAATGTGTAGACTTTGTACATATACTTTTTATTATGCATTTTTTCAGCATTACAATCTCCAATTGCTTATCAAAAGGAGTTAACTAAAGATATGTAAGTTATTTTTTTAATTTTTGCAATTTTAATCTTTAAAAATTTGATTGAAAAGAAAGTGATTGGAAAATTATTTTTCCAATATGTCCTGCGATTTTCTACCAAATTTTAATAAATTTTTCTGTTTTTATCATTGTTATTTATTAAAATTATTGTTTTTAGATGAATTTAATTTTTTTCCGAAAATTTAATGTCAAAACAAAAAGGGAAGAATTATTAGTTTTATCAGTTTAAATGTTTTTATTTTTAACTACCTTATTTATTGTCACCAACAGATTCATATAAAAACAAAACTAATTAGCTTGTACATTTTTATTACTCTTAGAAAAAATTACAAATTATAGGACATTACTTAGTTGCGTACATATGAGTCACACAGACATGATTCCAAATGTTTCTAAAGTTACAGTGAAATTCATGCATGGTCAAGTGAATGCAATAAGTATTTAATTGATCTATATGCATCATACTCTGCTCAGATTGCCATTTGAGCAAGTCATGTTTTTATCATTGCTGAATCAACATGCTTGAAGGTGTATTTCTGTATCAAAAAATGGCTTTCTCAATATACAATGTTTTTGCAGAACCTGACCTTCATTGGGAAAGCCTGTATATTTGCCTCTAGTTACCTATTTTTCAGAAATATATGCTTTGCTCTTCTTAATCTAATTGAAGATGCAATAAGTTATGAGAAATTTTATGTTTCATAATCATTGAATGTGGTAGAAACTATAAAAAAAAAATCTTGACTTCTTTTTTTTTTTTTCGAGAGAAAACAAAACATGATCTACATAATATATGCAATAAAAGGCAATTCTTCAGCTCCTTGGAGTTGATGATTTTGTAATTGTCTAGGTTCCCCTTGGGCCCAATGTGATGATTTGAAATTGATTTATTCCAAAATCCTATATAATTACTACTATAAGCATGATTTATTACTCCAATAATTTTAAAATTTAGTTTCTGAGCTATCATATCTAGTATTTGAAGTAGCTAAGTTAAATTGAAACAAAACAAAGTTTTAACTTAAGGTTAGTTTTTAATATACTTGCCTTTATGGAACAGTTTCTGTTTTACTATTTCTGTTTTTATTTATATTTATTTTAATAATTTTGTTAGGATAATTTTAATTATTCAGAGTTATTATGTAACTATAGCATCTAACAATACTATGCATTAAATGTAGCAAAATTTAAAGGATAATATTATTTAGATGTAACTATAATAATGAGCCTGTGACCAAACAATTATTTAGAAGCCAATAGCTCATTCTGAGAGATTTTTGGATGCTAATTTTAAAGCAAAATAGTGCATAATTATGTCATTTTTACCATTTTTTTCACAAATTGACAATTCTGAATTTTATAACCACCACATTGTATTGTAATCTACTAAAAAAAAGGATAAGCATTTATTGTAATAAATAAAAACAAATTTTTAAGTAATAAAGTCTGCAGTTTTTTTGATAATTAAAAAAAATGACTCTTATTCAAGACAAATATCTAAATATCCTTATTTAGACAAATGAGGTATTGTTTCAAACATTTTATTTTGCTGAATTAAATAAAATCAATCCTAAATCAGTAGAACTAATAAAGTTGTTGGTATAGTTTTTTACTTCAACTTATTTAAGCATCTAACATTGCCATTGAGAAAAGCGAGGCATTGTTTCTAATGTGCTACCTTACCTAAAATCCAATAAAAACAGAATTTAAGTCAATAGAACCAATAGTTTCAAATAAATAATGGTTTTATATAGGAAAATTTTATTTATACCCAACTAAGCATGAAACCTTCAATATAATACAGCTCTAAACAAAGTGTGCCAAAACATACTTCCTGCGACATTTACCAACAAAACACCATATTTAATACTGTCTTGTGAAATTTTGTGCCAAAAATGTAACGAAATCGAAAGTGACTTTGAAAATGAAACCAACCAAACTCTAAAAAATCTACATAGCGCTCCTCATTGTGAAGAGATTGTGATGCAATGTTTGACATCTTTTTTATATGTATATATATCTTCACTTATCTATTTTTAGTCTAGGGTAAGATGATTGTATTCTACATTGAAAACCCGGTAATTTTTTGCAGAGATTAGTTTTTTCACTTTTTACATTTTCAGAAGAATGAAAAACTCAGTTTCTTCAAAGAAATCTTATCTACAACCAGTGGCGTAGTTTTGGGGAGGGTTTAGGGGACAAACCCCCACCAAAATTATACATTATTTGATTAATGAGATATTGTATGGTAAGTAGGATGTAGTTTAAAAATATTTTCCATTATTGATTTTTTGTAGTTTAAACATTTGGAGATATATATATATATATATAATTTATTTTGAATGGAATATGTCCTGAAAAGAACCTGGACGTTTTTTTGATCAAATGTTTATTATTTTTCTAATTATATATATATATATCAGAAGATAAACCCCCTCCAAACATGCATTAAAACTACGCCACTGTCCACAACAGGTGCTTTTCTTGACACTTGTGATACACTTGGAAGATTTTCTTTCATTGCGATAAAAAGCTTCTTGCTAATAATTTTCATTTTTGTGTAGGCATTTCATTTTCACTCCATCTGTAATTTTTCTCTTGGTTTAAAAATCTCTCATTGTATTAACTTAATTATCCTTAACTACTCGTAAATTATTATTAATTCAAATTGTATCTCTGGATCTAAACTTTTAAAATGTACATTCTCCGTTGTATATATTTTTGAAAATTAACGAATTGCTATTATCAGATAGTTTAATTTTATCTACCAAATATATCTAGAAATCTACCAAACATATCTAGAAATCTCCATTGAGAAAACACTTTATTTTTACAGAGACATATACTATTATACCTGAGATAAAATGCCATTTCTGTTGAGACATTTTTTGTTTTTGCTGTGTCATCCCTGAACCTTTATAACTACAAAACTATCAGTTCTATTGATTTAATTTTTATTTTATTGAATTCAACGTTAAAAAAAATACTGCTACTTGCCTAGCTAACATCATCAGCTGTATAATTGAGTAAAAATACAAAATAGTACTTTTTATAAATCCTTAATATCTTCTAAACTATTGATCTTATTGACTTGAGTTTGAGCTCCTTCCACTCCATGTTAAAATATTCATCAGAAACAGTATCACACTTCTCTGTATAGAAATTTAGTTTCATTCCCACCCAAAAAATTAGTACAATAGGCATTTTTCTAAGTATATTCAAGCCATTTTGTGAAAAAAACCTTATGTGACTGAAAAAATGGTTACATATATATTGTATGTGTTACCCATAAATATTATGAGAAGAATGTTTCTCAAGGACATGTATCTTTTCAAACCTATTTAGATTTTCCTCTTGGTAACCTTTATTTTATTTGGCATTGCATTTAACCTTATTTCTTTCATTTCCACTGTAGTTCCTCTTTTCTTAACAACCTAATAAAGAGGTTGTTTGAAGAAATACCCCCATTTCTAACTAACTGCTATACTTGTTTGAACATCACTAGTTGTGCTCTTTTAAACAAATCTTTCTCTCTTCTTGCATTCCAGAGGAGCAGCACATGTTGGGTGGTGTTGGTAATTCTCACCCTCCCCTTTTTGGTGATTTATGGGTTCAATGCATAAATCACTAGAAGCTAGAAGTAGAGAGAATTGTCAAATATACTTGGTTCTTACGGAACTGTAAATACACAAAAAAAAACTTTTTTTTAAAGAAAAAAAAAAAGCATTACAGCTTTTCCTGCATTCCAGAGGAGCAGCACATGCTGGAAGGTGTTGGTAGTTCTCACCCTCCCCTTTTATGTGATTTATGGGTTCAATGCATAAATCACTAGAAGCTAGAAGTAGAGAGAATTGTCAACTTGGTTCTTACAGAACTGTAAATACACAAAAAAAACTTCTTTTTAAAGAAAAAGGCAAGATAAAGAGTTGTTTATTTTGCTTGTTAAAAGTGTCTGGGAACTAGACCTTTTTGGGAAAATTACTTTCAGCTATGGGACTTCATACTGTAATAACAATTGATTGTTATTCAAACTAAGAAACTCTGATGCTATCAATTTACTGATTTTGATGCTATCATTACCTAATTCATTCTTTTAGATATAAGTACTGTGCTTGTATTTCTTTTTTTCTTCTTCTAGTTCTGCCCCAGAATTGGGAACATTGTGGAATCCTTCATTAAGAAAAACTTTATCTCATCCTGCTGCTGCTCACAAATCTGGAAAATCACCTACTTCTGTATCTGGAGGATCTTCTACTTCTAAATCATTAAGATGTGTTACTCGAGAAAAGAAATATACTGATAATCCAGAAACAAAAAATACTTCTGCTGGTCAACCAACCAAGGAAGAAAAAGACTTAACACAAGAAACTATGGAATCCCAGAGCTTAGCTGTTCCAAATACAACTGGCTGTTGTAAAAAAAGTGATGTTACTGATCTGAATGAAAAAATTAATATTGGTTTAGAAGCATCATCTAGCCGACAGCGCAAAAATTCATTACCATTAGACAAACATTTAAACTTAGCACAGCAAAGCCCTCCATTTGGGAAAAAAAACTTTCTTGAAGGCTTCAAAAATGCTTTAAGACTCAAATCTAAAACTGATTCAGGATTAAGTAGTGTTAATGGTAATGGTCCAGCTACTCTTTGCTCCAGCCACAGTTTAGATTCATCTTCAGTTACAGCACAGAAAAATATTAAAGGAGAACAACTCTCGCTGAACAAAGATATTGATATGCCAAGAAGATGGTCTGAAATAAACTCTTCACGGTCAAATAGGCCAAGCTCAGTATCTGATCTCCCCGATGATGTTTCGCTCTAAATGTTAGTGTTATGAATTCCAGGTTAAAGATTTTAACATCAATTCATTTTCCTGTATTGATGCATAGGAGCAATTGTTTTATACCCTTTACATCAATGCAACAGTTTCTTCTGTAGTTACTTTCTCTTGAGCTTTTAAAGTTTATTTTGGAAAGTGATTATGAACCTTTTAGAAACTGGAATCGGATGTTTGTTGTGATTTATCCTTTAAAATGTGGAATACCTGTATATGAGATCAAATTATTGCTTGTTATATTGCTACCCTTTTCATCTGTTTAATAAAGATGTAATATAATATTGTCAACATCCCAGTGCTTCCTATCATCTGCGCATCCTTTTTTTAGCCAAAGTTTAAATATCAAGCATAGATTTTGTTTTTTGGTATGCGTGCATAGTTTGTTTTTTTATGTCATTATTTTATTTTTTGTTATAATTAATATCATTTAAGATGTGTGGCACACAATAAAAATATTTTATTGAAATATTTTAAATTGAAAGAGTTTATTATATTGTCTTGTGTTTTTCAACTTCAAAACTTATTTCTCTGTTTATTTTATTATTTATTTATAATGCTAATTTTGAAATTTATTTCAACAGATTTTTGAAAGAAAAATACGTATTAGAGGCATTGTCTATCGGAGCATAGTGTCAAGTAATTTGATTACCAAATAAATCTAAAATATACAACACCTTGATCATAATACAAAAATGCAATCGGTATCAAAAGAAAAACATCCAATTTACCCATTTACAAGAACAGGTTAAAGAAAATAAAAAATTACTTTGAATTAGGAAGTGTTTTTAGTTTCTAATCACATTAAGATAGATGGAATATGCAAAGATGTTTTTGTATTATAAGTGTTCGCACAAGGTGAGCTTTGTTGTCCGTGATGCAATCTAATATATTCTGCTTAAAAATTAGTTTCGTGATCTTTTGATAATTGAAGTTTTTCAGCTGCAAAACAAAATTTTATTAGTGTTTTGTCAACCTAATTAATCAAATTTAACTATTAAAAAAATATTCTATTGACTAATTCTTATGTTAGCATAGTAATTAACATATGTGAAATAGTCTACTTTCTGTTTTACATTTAAAATCTATTGTTATCTTTGAATCGATGCAATTTGGATAGTTATGATTTTCGTTAATAGGGAAAAATTAAGGTAATTATTGGGTCTTGTGACCAGTGCCCTTTTTTAAAAAACTTTTCCAAGTACAAAAGTATGTTATATAAGGATTTATGTGTATATTTTGTTCGAGAACTTTTAAATAGTTTTTAGATAAAATTGTGCCAATATTCAAATAATTCTAAAAAATTAAACAATTTTTCAAAAAGTTTCGATGCAGGAATAGTTAAAAGTCAAAAAGCATTAAAAGTAAATGTTTGGGGTTAGTGCAAATATATTTATATCTAAGACTACATTGCTTTCCCTTTACTTTTGATTAATTTTTACCCTGTATAAAAAATTATTGCTTGAAAATATATATAATCATAATTATGTAATTTTTTTTTTTACTGGAATATGGCCATATTTTAAATTAATTCAAAATTCTTGGTTTAGTGTTGTTCGATTGCGGAAGAATACTTAGAGCATACACTAAGTCTTTTTTCTCTTTAAAGAACCTGCTTTGTGATGGTAAAAGAGAGGAAACTGAATCAGTGAGAAGCTGCAAGAAATTGGCATACCAAAGCCATTAATAGAGTTGTGTGTCGGTTAATTTAGAGAATCAAAGAGTTTAAGGCAGGGATGTGATTCTTCTGCTGATTTCCGTTTTTTTTTCAGAGTTTTTAATTTTTTCCGGTAACTTCCGTGGAATTTTTTTTTTTAGCAAAAGTTAAAATATTTTATGAGGAATTTTCCGTTGACCGAAAGTATTGAAGTCCTCATTCCTCCTTCTGAAGTTTCTCTAAAAATCATTTCCTTGAGATAAAACTGGTTGACCTTTATTACAGGGATGAGATTTTCCGCTTTTTAGCGGATTTTTGCTTTTGTCTCTCGAATTTCAGCCTTTTTATCAATAACTCCAATTCTCTAAAAGTTTCGTTTTTTTATATATATATATAAATATCCGCTTTTTTTTTTTAAACTTCAGTCGTTGAAATAAAATATATTTACGATTTTCAAAGATAAACAGAAAATTCAATATACGTCCTAGCTGCTAACCCTTCCGCATTTTTACTTATTTTAGCTATTTTCTCCGATTTTACGCACAGAGAAAAAGATTTTCCGTATTTTTATCCGTCTGCCGCATAGCTCGTATTTTCGTAATTCTGACGTCGCTGCTTCCTGTCGTTAAAGCACACGTAAAAAAAAAGGTGGATTTTTGCGGTGAAAATATTTATTTGCTCATTCAATTAGTCTTGTAAATTTTTATTTATGTCTAAACAAAAACAATACAAACAAGCCTTTTAGAAATCCCAAGTCCATGCTCTGCAAATATCTCGATTCTTATTCCTGCGATTTTAATATCAATCATCGATTTTTCGTATTTACTTGATTTAAAAGTTGGCATTGCGAATCTTATTTACGCTATTTTAATATCGTACATTATGATTCTTATTTACAAGAATTAAAAATCCAATATCGCGTTTTGTATTTATGCATTTTTAAAATCGCGATTTTATTATCAAATATGGATTTTCGTATTTACCTGATTTAAAAGATGAACGTTGTGATTCTTATTCGGGCGATTTAAATATCGTACATAGTGATTCTGATTTACGAGATCTAAAAATCCAATATCGTGATTTGTATTTACGCCCTTTTAAAATCCTATGTAGCGATTCGTATTCACGAGAGCTTAAAATCCAATGTCGTGATTTTGTTTTTGTGGTTGTAATATGTATCAAACATCGATTTTCGTATTATCCGTGCTTTAAAAATTAGACATTAGGATTCGTATTTACGTGATCTAAAAATTACGCATAATGATTTGTATTTTCGCATTTTTCAAATTTGATATAGAGTTTCATATTCACGTGATTTAAAAGCCTCATATCGGGATTCATATTCTCTCAATTTAAAATCATACATGTGATTCATATGATTTTAAAATTAATCATCAGGATTTATAATCACATGGTTTACAAGTTTAAAAATCGCACTTTTTTTGTCAAATTTTTGAATACATATATATATTCATTCTTGGATTTCCTCTTTTTTACTTTCTGACTACTCTCATCCCTGTTAAGGCCTAATAACATTACCAATTAAAGAACAGGAACTTATGGAATGTTTGTTGGATAGACCAAGAGTTGGTTATCCTTGACAGGCAAGAACTTGTGCATCTTGTTGTATTCCAAAGAAAAAAGTTTTATAATGTTTTCAAGTATAGCAAACCAGATGAGGACAAGTATCTAGACTTTGTGAAGATTATTCTTCCTTGAATCTTTGATTATTCTTGAAAAATCCAAGCACCTCCAGTCGTAAAAATAAACTACATATCTTGTGATAAAAAAAAATGAGGTTTTTCAATCCTCAGTTGAAGGGTCAATGGGACTGAAACGTGGAGCCTAGGGAAGTACTTTGATAATTTTTCACAAAAAAATTAGCATTTTTAGCCTGGCAACACTGCTTATTCCCAATATTTAATAGGATTCATGAAGTACTTTTAAAAAATAATTTACTAGTTCTTAAATTATAAAGTTATAAGCTAAGATACATTTTTACTACTTATTAAAAGCATTTTATAAAAAAAAAATATCTACATGTGTCATCGAGTGATAACAAATTCTAGTTCAAAGCCTGAGTCCTGCTTTTGGCAAGAAAAAATATATCTGTCCTGGCATCCTCTAAACCAGAGACTTAGTTAATGGAGTTATCGATAAGTTTACCTTGTTTAATGTCTTAAGGGTAAGTATGAATCTTCTTAGATTTTTAAAGCCCCCTTTTTTTGGTAAGAATTTGTGATTTAAAAATGATAGAGTTTTGAAGAATCATCCACATTATAAATAATCAGATACATGTTTATTTAAATTCAGCATAAATGTTTGCGTGGACCATGTAGTTAAAAATGCCATCTACTGTCTCTAATTTATGTTGACTGTAGCTAGTCTAACATAATTTAGGCTAAATGTCCATTTTCCAATAAACTTTCACCCAAATTTGTGGTTAACTTAGTCACACAGGTGTAAACTTTTTTTCTCTAATGCACTATTTTTGAAATTTATTTTTAAGCAGTCGATAACTATACTTTACATTCATTAGGCTTTATGTTAAATTAAAACCCTGGTATTAGAGGCTAGGTAACACTAATAACAAAAAAAGCTCGTGTTAGGAATTTTTTTTAATATTATATGCACCTCATATACAGAAGTCTTTCAATATATAAAATCATAAGAAACTTCAACATGTATACTGGAATAGAATTTAAATATAAAATAAAACAATCGAAAGGGTCCAAGTATAAAAAATTTGATTAAATGGATATAAAGCAATCAAATATCCTGTAATAGTTTATAAGTATAGTTATTAGGTGCCAACACATTAAAATAAAGCTCGGTTTGTTTATTCTCATAATTTTATGTATCATACTTGGTATATACATAAGTATAGATATATACTTAGTATGTATAAAAATTATAAACGGTTAATATTTTTTTAATACTTGCCACTTAGACCTTTTTGAAAGTCTTCATTAAAAAATAAAAGATATCCTCTAATAAGAAAATGAAGAGAGAAAAAATTTTTGGACAAAGTTAAAACTTTTTTTTTAAAATACACTTATTAAATGTTTCTGTAACTGCAATTCATGTTTTCCCAATCTACTTGAAAAAAAAAAGACTTATGTAGGTAATATTGATGATCCAGTTCCATCACAAAAGTCTTTTGGTTTAAAATATTTGTGAAAAATGTCCGTTAAAGGAGTTTCACTTGTAGCTTAAAATCTTTTGATTTAATAAAAAAGAAAATTTAATTATCTTTTAAATATAAAAACAACTAATACAGTTTTGAAACCTATTGAATAAACAAAACCTACTACAGTAGGGAACCGATTATCCGGAACGGTCGGGACCATTGCTATTCCGGATAACTGATTTTTCCGGTTTTCTGAATCGCTACAAAAAGCCGTTTTTTTATTGTTAAACCCAACTAAAAAAAAAAATTTGGAAATAATCTTAAAAAGAAGAAAAAACGATGAAGTAATACACTAATGATTATTTCCAAAATGATGGTAAGGTAAATATCTTTAAAAAAAGAAGGAAAAATCGTATGAGGAAAAAAAAAAAAATTTTTTTTTTAAAAATGGCGAGAAAATTTATTGAATTTCGTTCTGGTTTTTTGGTTTTCCGGATAACGGGTTCTGTACTCTACTATAACCTAAACCTATTATACATAATACAAAAACAAAGTTCTCTAGTAAAATATTTTCAACCTTGAATACCAACATCAAAATGATATCTCAGATCATGAAACAAAAAATCAATAAGTATAGGTTTTTTCTTGATGAACAACATGTTTATTCAACACTGCCTTTGTACATTAACAATTACTATACAACATCTCATATGGCTTACATATTTTATAAGATGAAAATGTTTGTGCTATTGGCATTGTATATCTTCATTTTTACAATTTTTGAGGGAAACTTAAATTATGATTGTTTCTTGAGTATTCTTAAAAGATGGATCTTTACATGCTAAAATTTGAAGTTAAGGTTTATTTTAGAATCATATGTAAATAAAACTGTAACCTAACCCAGTATCTATGACAAGGGTATTAATAGATCTTCCACAGATTTGAACCAATTAACAGGACAGCTAGACCAGTGTTCTTCCAAAACTAAAAAATTGCAAGCAAAATTTCTAAGCAGATACTTTAAAACTCACTGCTTTATCTTTCCAATTTAATATTCTAAGAACAGAAATCCCTCACAGAGATTCTCTAACAGAAATAATTTAATTGAAAAGAAGAGGTGAGTTTTTGAATGTTCTTTTAGAAATTTTGCTACCAGTTTTTCAGTTTAGGTAGGACGCTGGTCAGCTTACTATTAATATTCTTTTGTTTTTGAAAAAAATTAAGCATTTTCAGTTTTTCTATTAATCTCAAACAGAACATATGGTCCAAATTCAAGCCTCCAATCTTGGCAAAAACATACAATTTATTTATCATTACTGTTAATTAGTTTACTTCGTAACTACCGTGATAATTAAAAAATATTAAAATAAAAAATTTTTTCTATCTTAGAGATCTAAATTTTGGACTATGTGTTCTTTATAACTTCATGGGAAGTGGGAGAATTGGTGATGAGTGAGTCAGGGCTTTGCCTTCTACACATAAATATTAGGTTTTTTACTTTAGTGTGATTGTATTTTCTTTATCCTTTTAAAATCACTAACTTCAGGTCAAAATCTTTTATGGATAATTCAATTAACTGGAAATTATTAAATTTAAGTTTAAAATATTTTAAACTTTTTTTCCCCTATGTATAAGGCTGAAGTAAATTTTATAATAAGTTTACAAAATAATTTTAGCCTTTATAAAGTATTCTTTTTAAATAAGATTTTGACATTGAAGTGTACTGTGATTCAGTACTGATACTGCAAAAAGAATTTTTAATATAATGTACTTATTGAAAAAATACAAATAGTTATATAAAGTAATATGCATGCTGCTATGTTAACTCGATAAGAAAAGTATATTTTGTCTCTGCCTCAGGAAATTTTATTTCAGGGTAAAATTGTTTACTTATTTAAAAATATCATAAAGCTTTCAGATATGAGGAAACTAATGAAGATCTGAAGCAGAGTACCTGGCCAATGAGGCCTCCTTCGTAAATTATGCATTATATATTGCCTGTGTTATTACAAATTAGTTGATTAGCTAAATTAGAAGTTAGTAGTTAATTAAAATAAGGGTAAAGAGGAAGAAAGAGAGGATAACATGATCAAAGACATAATGCTAATCAGACATATTGCTCTATAGTGTCTATAAGTGTATGTATTTAAATTATCTATGCACATTAAATGAGTATTAAAATTTTATTTCCATCAAAAATGAGTGAATATTTCACAAATAACTATTATTTAAAAATCTATTAGTCTAACTTAAGTTGGCAATTTTTTTTTATGCATACAAGCAGAACCTTTTTTTAGAATTTCATCCTGATCATACAAAATATATTAGAAGTTCTGGCATTTTTAAAACCAATCTAATTTTATAGTGAGTGGTTATCATTCAGAATAATTAATTTTATTGTAAGAAAATAAGATAAATATAAAAGAGAGCAAGTAAGATAAAATTACAGTCGGTGAAATTATATAAATAAATTTGCAACAAGAGATAACTATAATTGCAACATACACTATCAAACTAATTGTTTGGGCTTGTATGCATAATAATCAGCTACTATATACAATTACTATATATGGTAAAACACTGATTATCAGACATCCATGGTGCCGAGATTTGAAATTTTAGAATTGTCTGGGTTCTATAGGAAGTAGATTATTCAACATTGCAAAAAATAAATAAGAATAAAATCATCAGAAGCAACTATCATTAAATTAATTAGTACAATAACCTTTAGTTTACATATGTAAAAAGGTAACAATATGAAATGAATTGTGAAGTAAAATTACTTTTTAATTTTACATCAAGATTAACAAATTCCTCATCGCAATTTGTATTTTAATTTTAGCTCAGATGATTTGCGAGACATATATCAAAATTCTTATGTATAGAATTTAGATTTATATGATTTGTGAATCCCATTCTGTAACTCGTATTTGATATGATTTAAGAAACCCATTGCAATTTTTTTTATTGCATTTTAACAATTACACACTATCAATAATTATGTTGCTTAAAAGAAAAATAATAATGTACCCACAAGTTAAACTATTTTTTTTTATATTGATAGTAACAAACAATCCCTTTTGGTATGTCTGATTATAAGTTAAGGGGAAGCCCAATAAAAACCAGACTTATCACATTAATAGTAACATGCATTTACCACATAAATTGTAACTTGCATTTATATACATTTAAAATACACCACATAAAACTCACACTGCAGCTTAGAGAATATATCTCTAAAAAATATTGTTTTTCTTCCATTTAGTGAACATAGTACAAATTCATTGTTGACTTGACAAGCTATTACAGTTCAGACTTTGGTCTTAGATTTTTTAAAGATGGTACATCTGAAAAAAAAAAAAAGCATTTTTTTTTAGGAGACAAAATAAAAATATATTCCAAATAAAGATTGCAACTAACCATTGGAATCAGAAACAAAATTTTCTTGAACATCCTTCCCATTTAAATTTCCTTTGAAATCTTCCATTTCTAAAATAATTGTCTTCAATGCTGTTAACACTAAATTACAAAAATATTTCATGTTAATACATTCTAAAACAAATGAGAAATAAAGATATTCTAAAATTATACAATACTTTAAAAAAAAAATAAAGAAGTCCCCAACAACAATGCTGTTAAAAACTTAATTTTGAGACCTGCCTTAATTCAAAATTTTTGTATCACGAAAATTTGAAACCGTAAATTTTACATCAAACTGATGAGCAAGTGTTTAGATGTTAACTTAATACTTTATTCCAAGACAAACTAACAAATTAAAATTTGTACCAAAGTTAAGTTTTTGCATTTGAATACAAAAGAAAGAATAACTACCAAATTTAAGCTTAGGTTTTTGAGCATTAGCAGCAAAGAACAATATAGCTGGCTCTCAGATTTTGCAACCAATACTTTATTTGTAAATTGAAACACGTCTAAAGATATATCTTAATAATACTTATAAATCTGTAAACACAAACTATTTTTAAAGGTGGAAATGTCATACAACTTTGATTCTAATAAATAACATTGACAGCATTTGACTCTCTCCTCTAAACTTTTAAACCATAACAATGAGGGGACTTTTAGCCACATGAGATTTAACATGCATTGTGATGTGGAGTAAACACACTAGTTTAGTTGGTTGCCAGGAAAAACTGAGGGCCACCAGCTTTGCAGCAATGGTGTGAGTATGCCCCAATTAATTGATTCTCTAGACAACTCACTGACTAACATTGGCTAATATAAATTAAAATAAACACAAAATAAAATTAAACAAAAGCGACAAAAAAAATTAAGTCATTGAAAGAATTGAATCATTGAACTGAAAAATAAAAATCAGATTAAAAACTAGAGAAAGCATTGTTGATATCACATTTAGTCTACCTATGCTCCTCTTTCTTTTGCTTTCATCTAAATTGTGATTTACAATCAATATTAAGAATTGACTCTAAATACATAATAAGGTATTAATATACTTCAAGAAAACAGTTATACAAAGCAAAAAAAGAGAAAGTTGCTTGTCTATACTTACCTTTATCTTTTCCATATTGTTCAAGAGCATGTTGAGTTTTTCTTTCTTGAACAGTATCTTTTCTTCTAATTAATACCTCTTCTGTTTCTGAAGAACTCAAAGGACAAAGAACTTTTTGAGAATCATTCTTATAAGAAAGATAAGTTTCAGGTTGAGGCTTAAAGACGGTCTGGTAAAAAGCAAGCACAAAGAATTAGCACCTATTGCTTTTAAAAATACATGAAAAAGTGATTTTTTAACTAAATTGCTTAATGAGTGCCAAGAATATTTTTATTACTCAATTTCTATTACAGAAATACTAAATTTTGCTCTGGAAACATTCTTTCTTTTTTTTTTTCAATAAAAAAAGGATTTTTACTTGATAAGTGAATTTTGTGATAATAACTGGGAGTAAATAATTAATAAGGTGTACATTAAGTGAAGTATATAATAAGTAATATATAGTGTATATAATAAGTAATATATAGTGTATATATTACTTATAAGTGACTATAAGTTTAATAAGATATGTAAATAATAATTAAGATATTTAAAAGATAAACAGAATATAAAGAAATAAAATGAGTGCTTAAAAATGATTTAAGTGACAAAATAATGCAAACAATATTGCTATAATAACTTTAAAAGAAAAGCAATTTCTACTGTTGTAACAGCTAAGAAAAATTTTAGCCAAAATAAGTACATATTTATAGCTCAAAATCAAGACTTTCAGAAATGGCCAACAAATTTAAATGTATTTCAAAAAAAAAAAAAAGCTGCAGAATTAGTTAAATAAATTGCTCCCAAAGCTTCGGGCAACAATAAAAATTAGTATGCTACAAATTAAGTCAAATAAAACTAGATAAATAAATAAAATAGATAAATAAATCAAATATGAAGAATAAAACAAAATATAATCAACAAACCTGATTAATTTAACCTTTGAGTTTCTTGGTTTATTAAAAGTAACTGCAACCCACTACAAAAAATTATAAAAAAATAATAAATATAAATCATGCCAAAAATTTGAAGGAAAAAAAAGTAAATTTAACTAAATGTACTAAAATCATCATTATGTTTTTCGTGATTTAAGACATATTTGCATAAAAAGCCTGCAAAAACATTATTATCATTTTGCATTAACCTAGATGGCATATCTTGTGCTTAAAACAAACTGTATTGAGAATAACTCATAGATCATAATCATTGAAATATGATTAACAGGTTAATGGTGACAAGTACCAACTTAGCACGATAAATTTTTAAATTTTCCGGTTCAACTATTGTATTTAAAAAAAAAAATTCTACCTTTATTCTTCTCAAAATAACAAACAAAATTTTTCTTCACATTATCAGACAGGAAAATAATGTATTGAGGAGTAATATTTTTCCAAATTTGCCCTTTCGCTTACTTTAATTGCAATTTTGTAATACATATTAGTTTTTAATTAATTTGCATTACAGTTTTAAAATACATATTCAGAGTTCCTAAGAAAAGTAAATTTTAGTGGTAATATAAAAACAATCATTATTTCTAAGCTCTAATTTCATGAAAAAATAAAGAGTTATAGAAATATATAGTCAAGTTTGACACTTTTATTTAATTCCATCACAACTTACAAATTTATAACTATTCGTTGAAGATTAATACTGGAATGCTGATTATCCAACAATTTACTATATCAAAAAAATTAACAAGATTCAATTATAAGACTACAGAGTTGAGAATTGGTGGTCTTTAACTCAAAAATTAGGTTGGCTCTTCAGCGAAGGTTATAAAATAAATATAATGAAAAAAAGTTGCTTGTAAATAGCTTTGTGATGTTCACTCTGAATCTATTTTTTAATTAACTAATGTGTTTTCAATTGGTAAGTAATATAACGTTTTATACAAAGATTAATTCAGTGAAAATGAAATTATGTAAAAAATTTTCAACCTAAAAAAAAAAGCAATATTACTTTCACAATCAAACTTTTGCTAAAATTCATGACTTACATAATTATAAAATTGTATAAAAAAGAAAGTCAAATGAATAGATAAAAAATATACTGCCTAAAAACATTATGATATAACAGTTTATCTTAATTAATTGTAAACTTACTTTCAAGAGAGAATAGAGAAAGAACAAAATTATTCCAATGGTGTAGACAGGAATAACAAAATTTACAGCTCCTGCTCCTTTAGAATGAGGTTTAGTCATATACCTCACTGAAGGATGAAATAATGCCTATAAAATTATTAAAAAACTAAGCAATCTACAAAAAATTCATGATTAAATTGAATAAAGACTATAAAAATAAAATTTATAACCAACAGAATACTAGAATACACTAGCATTTTCAATTCGAAAATGTTTTAACAGTTAAGATAATTGATGGTAAGTGATATTTTTAAATAAAATTGAAATTTTTCAGGGAAAGTTCTTGTTTTGGTCTAATTTAAATACATAATATTCATTCATATTGCAAAATCTATTAATTCCAAAGATACTCAATGAAAGAAAGAGGTAAGTGACACTATTTAAGAATTTTTGGGTGGAAGAACAAAGTTAAGTACACTAGGTAACAAATGGTCAACAAACTACAATGGAAAATCATTTGCTAGGCATTGAATGCTAAAACAAAAAATTTCATGGCAACTCTAAAGGAAATGGAAAACTTGAATCAAAAACTTCCATACATTAACGAAAAAGAAAATGCTTCTAATTTAAAATTCATAAAATTTCTAATAATTGAAGAAATAGAAATTATAAAGAAGTACTGAATTTTATTTGGTTTTTGTTTAAACTCTATAAATATTTCTTAATTAAAATATGCATGTATTTTTATTTTTTTTACATTTTCATTCTGTGAGCATTATTTAAAAAAAGGTTGCCTTGATTATTAGACTAGAGATGCACTCAAAAAGGTTGCACAACCCTAGTCTAATAATTAAGTAGTCCTTATTTAATTAAAAGAATTTCAGAATTATAAAGTTGCAAACAATTAAAAACTATCATTTTTTAAATCAAAATTTCGACACACAATTCATAAGGGTCTTTTAAATATAACAGAATTTTTATTCAAATTTTTAAATTGTCATAAAGATTAATGTGACATAACATCCTAAATATTATTTTTTTTTTCAGAAATTTCAAAGAAAACAAAACTCCAACATTTTTAATTAATACCACTTAGCTACTTAGTCTAAAATAATAACATTAATTCTAAAAATTGCTTAGAAACAAATATACCTTGTTTCCTTCTTTCAATGATTTTTCTAGAGGTCTAGCTTCACCCATGGCTTCTCTCATTTGAGGACGTAACACACTGTCTAAATTCAGCTTTTGAATATCATCTTGCATTTCTATTATAATAAGAATTCAAGATTTAGCTAAAAAATATTGTTCCAGAAAAAAGACTGAAAAATCATTTCAGGAACAAATATATTGTACAAATTTCAAATTGTGCTACAGTTTAGTTTAATTTTTTGAGAGACATTGAACTGTTCAATTCATCAGAAGCAACCTACATAGTGTTACTTGCATTTGTAGATGTTTTGTTTAATTTGTGTACTAATTGTCTGTGTGTTCCCATTTTGAGATAACACATTAAGTTAGTAGATACTTCTGGTTCTGGTTACAACTGGTTCATTGGATTTTAAAATAGTTTTCAATATTTTTTTTTTCCTGTGCAGCAAAATTTGATAAAAATTTTTAAACATACAGCCTATTAGCAACTGTAAATACTGAGTAAAGAGAATCATGTGAACTCTAAGTTGTTTAAAGTATAGTGGTTGCTTATAAACTGTAAAAGTTTAGAAAGAAAAAGTTTTAAATTTTTAGTGGCTTATAATATTTTTGGAATCAGAGATGCCAATCCAGACACTGCATTGGAGAAGATTAAAACAAACTGCTGCATTTTCACTGCAGCAGGATGAGCAGTTCACATACGACCTGTCAAATAAGAATAAAAACAGGATGAGTTATTGTTTAATTTGTTCTGTATGTGTTTATCATTATTTGGAAGCAAGACTATCTTTTATTCACTTATTCTGATTTATGGAAAGATAGAACAATCCATATTCTACTGATAGTTTTGAATTTAAATGGCTCAATACTACATTTCTGATATTTGATTAAAAAAAGCAATTTATATCCTTAAGCAACATTTTAAGTTATTAACCAACATTAGAGTTTGGCTATTGGAGAAGGAGTATACACTCTTCAGAACAATTTCATGACGACTGATGTTGTTTTTTACAGGTTTATTGATTTTTTAACCTTTTATCGTTGATAAATCTTTCATAAATTTCTGAAAAAAATCTATGGGACGTTTTTCAGTAGCCTAATATTCTTATGCATATAGAAAAAGAAATGAAAACTGTAAATTTTTTATTTAGAATAAATATATAAAATGTGACTGATGTTATATAAAGAGAACATGGAGTAAAACATCATAATTTTATTTAAAAATTTTCCTTCTTCTATATGTAATAATTGGATTTTTTTTCAATTTATTAATAAAAATATTGTAAATTAACAGGAAATAATGAAATTAGATATGAAATGCCATATAGAAAATGGTAATTAGAAAAAAAGCTCTTGTGACTAATGTTACAAATACAAACTAGATTAAAATTTTAATACACTTTTTATTATTATTATAAATACTTAAAAATTACAATTATTGATTACATATCTAAAATAATAAAAAAAAATTATAAAATTTTTAAATTTAGAGATGCTATTAAATGGTTACTGTTTAGTTATATTGTCTTTTGATATCATGGAGTTGCTCCTCAGCAAATAAAACAATTGGCGAAAAATTTGAATACCTCACTATTTTACCATTTTTTTATCATTATGTTTTAACTGCAGTAACTAATTTAATTAGAAAAATAAAAACGAAGCGTTTACTCCCTAGTTTAATCTCCATGATAATTATTTAGAAGTCTCCAATTCATATAAAATTTCAAAAATCATATTCTAATATTTCATTTTTGATTCAGTGTAAATTTTTAACTTGGTTTTTAGAAATTATAGAATTACAAAAAAAAAAAAAAAAAAAAAAAAAAAAAAAAAAAAAAAAAAAAAAAAAGCAGAAGGATCGATCATTACCTTCTTCAGCGGATACCGGGAAAATAATCGACAAAATCATAGGATAAAATATTTTTGGCCAGAGAATAGCAAAACAAAGCACAACTACAGCTAAAACAGTCAAATTCCTCTTAGAGTTAATATCCATATCTAATTGAAAATGATATTAATATTGATTTCAACACAAGTAGCTAACAAATTGATAGATTGTTTATTTATTTATGGATGATTGATGATGAAATGGATGATTGATTAAAAAAATCATGAAATATTCCCCAATCAATCCAATCGCAATCTCAACAAGAAAAGGATTATTCACACTGAAAGAATATTCGCGTTTGCGCAAATGACATTTATTTGACGATCACATATTACTTTTAGTGAGAATATTCTTTTAATAACTCTGTAGAATAAGATTACTAGTTTAAGCTTGAATCAAGCAAATATAGGTAGCTGTAAGCATACAGCAAGCAAAAGTAAACAAACAAATAGCACGTTTTTACAATTTTTGCAATTCAATCATTTATATTTCTAGATGCTATAATTAAAGTTCGTTTTGATTGCGCTATTCGTTTACGTGATTTTTTGCTTGTTTTTTAATTTTATGATATTTAAGAAAGTAAATATTTCAACCACTAAAAATTAGCGTAGATTTATTCCCTGAAATCTTATTGCTGTAGCACATGCATTTATATTAAGTTTCTCTTGCTTAATGTTGATGGCTGTTATTTTGTGAAAATATCTATTTTATTCAGTGCACATTATAAGTATATTGGTAAGTTGTTTTCTAATATTAACATTTCCTCCAATTTTTACCGGCATAACTAACTGCAATGAAACACGGGGAATTCGTTTTTCATTTAAAACAAGGTTGTCGGCTTTTATTGGGTGGATTAAAATAGTTTTTATAATTGTATTTAGTTATAATTTAATATATTTTAATTGCAGTCAAACCTCAAAATGTAAGAGTAAAATTCGAAACATCTAACGAAAAATCACATGCTATCAAAAATGAAAAAAGGAGGATATCACCGTATCATTACCCGTTCACGCTATCTAGAATGGCCTAAGAGCCATAAGGTTTTTTAACTTGCTAAGAAATAAAAGAAAAACTTGTAACTTGCCCTGAGGTTGACTACGACTCCCCCCCCCCCCCCNCCCCCCCCGAGTTTGCTCACTTTTGTGATTTATTTTTAGTTTCTTGCTGGTACCAAAATAAAAGTTTTCCAACAAGAGCTTATACTTATCAATTATATTTTCTTTGTGGCCAATTCGTTAATTGTGTGACACTGACACTTAACTTCCTGTTTTGTTTCTTTTCTTAATGATCAATGTATAAGAGATGAGTACTAGTATTTTGTATTATTCATTTAAAGTGCTGAACCTGGAGGAATATATCGTTAAAAGGCTTTTATTTCATCAGCAAGGATCTTTAGGTAGAAAAATGAGAAATATGTTAGTATAACAAGAGTTGAGTATCGATTACAACTGTAATTAATTATAATTACTGCTTTATAAGCAATCTTTTTTAATTGTGATTACAAGTTATCATGATTTCTGATTAAATCAGATTCAGACTAATATTTAATTAAATAAATTTTTCGATTGCAAAAATGAATTACTTAAAATCATGATTACACATTTATCATTTTGATTTTTCAAAATTATAAATGTGTAATGTGTACAACTGTAATTGTAATTACGTAGCTAATTATGGTAATCAATTGTTTGTAATCATGATTACATGTAATCAAAATATATGATAACTGGTAATCTAAATAAACGATTGCAAGACAATTGTATACCAATATATAATTATATTTTACAGTACGGATTGTATAATGTATTGTTTAATGGTATATTTTGTAGATATATATTTTCCTAATGCCTCCTATGTAGACCACTGTGTAGAAACAGACCACAGTGAATAACTTGATCTAATGATCAGATCTTCGCATTCATACTCATACGCGTTATACTCATGGTTTGAGGGGATGACCTGAAATATACCAATTAATTAGTGCAGTCGATATTTTAAGCTTTGAAATCAGATACAAAAATGTACTTTCTCTGATTAAACATGCTTTTCTTTTGATGGATTCGGATTTCTGACCCCCAAAGTATAGGCAGCCGCAGTCCGGGTAATATGGTCCCCATAATTTGGTCAGGAAAGCAATCTAAAGTTTGAACTCCTTAATGTAAATTTTACTATTCGCGTATTACACCATATCTCAAGAACTTTTTAAGCAAATTTAAAAATTTTGCAATAAATTATTAAATTTTTTTATATAATTTAAGATAATAATTTAAGATTATAATTTAAGATAATTTATGCAAAAATTAAATTTTAGTAAATATTTATTATTTTATTTAATAATAGTCATAAAAATTTTGAATTACAACTTTTTACCTCATTTTAAAGAATGCAATTTTGCATGGCAAAATCCAAAATTAGAGTAAAATATGTCAAATAATTTACGAGAAATCGAATTTTAAAGAAGCCGTTCACAGATATCATTTGGCAAATTTCACTCAAATTTTGTATATTGTCATTTAAAATTGCATTCTTTAAAATTATATAAAAAGTTGCATACCTTACAATTCAAAAAATGTTTGACTATTATAAGATAAAATAGTGGAAAATCATAAATATTTACTAAAACTTATTCTTTGCATTGAATTATCTTTGATTAAAAATTTTTTTAATTGTGTGCAAAAATGCTTAAAAAGTTCTTGAGATATGGGGAAATACGCAAAAAGTCAAATTAAATATGTATCACTCTCTTGATCAGCTCTAATTAATTATCATATTTGAAGTCACCCCCTCGAACCAAAAAAGATTGAGTCTGAGTTTGTGAAGATCAGATTATTAGATCAAAAGTTATTCAGGGTGGTCCATTTTTTTGGCGTACTGTACATAGATTTTAGTAGAATATATATCTATCAGTGTTTTCATCTCAGAAGAAAAATGGGTGAGAATTTCTCACCCTTTCTCAAAAACAGGGTGAGATTTTAAAAAGGTAAGAAAGATTTCAAAAATAAAAAAAAACGCCAAGAGACTTGAAAAAAAAAATCATTTCTTTAATTATAATGCACATCTTCTAATTCTTAAAGCATTAAATATTTTTGCTGCATCATATGGAAAATGTTCTACATCTACTTTTTCATCAGCTATTCTCATTAGGTTGCTCAAATGCATATTTGTTTCGTTTTGATCGATTCTACTCACATTTTGTTTCATTTGTCCGTTTCGGAGTAGAGGATACTGGCTTTACAAAGTATTTGTCCATCTTTCATTAACGAGCAAAAAATTTGAACATCTTACATGAAGAAACCTTACCTACGGTAAACACGTGGTTGCAGAGAAATGCGTTCTGAAAGAGGTTCCGTGGTTCGGAAGGATGGTGTTCTGTTGTTCTTAAACGTTCTGAACAATACTGGTAAATAGGGAAGCTAGATAATGGGGCAGATGTTGAAAATAATAAAAGATCCAGGAAGAAAAGTGATACCGATTTTATTCTAAATGGCGCAAATGAGAAATTTTTTTCAAAATGCGAGAAATTCGCAAATTTTGAAATTGGTTTAGAGAATGCGCGAATTTCTCGCGGTAATAATTTTTTAATGCGAGAAAATAAAAAAATATGCGAGATTCTCACGTTCTCGTGCTGTAGTGAAAACACTGATCTATGTACATTATATACATGTCCAATCTATGCATGTTCAGTGCACAAAAAAATAAACAAACCACTCGAAATAGTTTTTTGGTAGCTTTCCTCTTACTTATCTTTAGGACGATCTTTTCAAGTATTACTATGATTTTAATTTTAGTATTTTAATTAAACTAAATTGTAATTTTTGATATTGGAAATTTTGCAGATCCCTGGCAACTAATAAGTAAAATTAGTTATAACTTTAGTGCAACCATTTTGTAATTAACAAACTATTCTATTATTTTATTACCTTAATATTATTTATCAGCTATATATTATTTATTAAAATATTTATAAGTTATCTAAATTGTTGCCTTGTGCAAATAATATTATGAACCAATAATATTACCAACAAATAATATTAGTTTTTAACTTTAGTTCAAGCACTTGGAAATTTTATAATTTACAAACTACTCCAACATTTAATAAAAATAACAAATATTGTATGAATGTTTTTAAGTTCTATACAAATCAGTGAAACTAAATGTTAGATTTTAAATATGTCCTCTTATTACAATATTTTATTTTATTTATTAATTTTTATCTTAAATATTAATATAAACCATAATGTCGAAGGAAAGACACGCAAACTTATTTTGCTAAGGATGAAACAAGCAATCTTAAATCAATTTTTATAGATACTACTATCGATATATACAAATAAAGGGGTCATTAAAGAAGTTTTTAAACGAAAGTTTAATAATTACAATCAGTTTAAAAAGTACATCTAAATTAGTGTTGTTTTATCAAATGACTATTTCTTTCTTTTTTTTTTACAGGTTCTAAAAACTTATGCAGATAGACAAAAATTCTTTTAATATTTAGAGCTTTAAAGATACTTTCGAAAGATGAAAAGAAAGGCTGAAGAAATCAAAAATGGTCTTAAAGTGAGTGATATAGCAGTCAACTGCAAATCTTTTATTTGTTGAATGCCTTATATGCTTACTATGCTTTTGAAATCCTTTTAAGGAAATAAGGATACTTATTTTGTTTAAAATTTAAATTTTTAAATGTTTAAAAGCATACTGAATTATAAAAATAACACCTTGTTTTGCTTATGTTTATTATTTTTTGGTTGTATTTTTTCTAAAAATCAAATAATCAGAAGTTATCCGATATGCTTCATTTTCTCTCTAATTTCTAATTTTCTGCTAATATATGTACATATATAGTGGAGCCTTGATTTTACCTTTTTTCATCTGACTAGCATTAAAAATGCACAAAGAGGGAAAATGTAAATTTGGTATTAAAATATGAGCATATTTTTCAATGATTGACGCTTACTAGCTGAACTATTAGAAAAAATTTGTATTCTTTACTTGTTTTTTTTTTCTTTCTTGTATTTACCTTAATATATACAATTTCAACTACATATAATAAAAAGAAATGAATGAAAAAACTTGAAAAAGTTTGCAGGAGAACATAAAATCCTGGATAATTGAACATTATCTGTATTGGCAATTTTCATAGACCAGCAGAAATGATATAGGAAGCAGGATAATGAACAATGTAAAAACAGGGTTCCACTGTATATATACATATATTCTTTTTCATATTTGCTTGTGTATTTTATGACAAAAAATAATGTGTATTTTTGATGTCAACAAAGGAATGTTTTTCAGTTTATTTTTGGGAAATTCGAAGAATAAAATAGTGTGAGGGCACAGATTAGAAACGATCAATCAATGAGAAATTAACGGTCAATGAATAGTGGACCATAGCATCATATCAGATCCGATAGAGGAAACCTATTGAAAAGGCATTGCCTTCTTGTAGGGTTAGGGTTGGCAAGTTTCTGCTGAGGTGGTTAAAATCACTGGTAGAAACTGGTTAAAACTGGCAGAAATTCAGAAAATGACATAATATACTGAGATTGACATACAATGGATAATTCATAGAAAAAACAATTAAATGTTAAACAAAGTACAATTTATTTACAAAATTGTCCCAATTCAAAATCAAATATTACATTGTTTACACTCTGCAGTAATCTATAGCAAAAGACAAATTTTTATGCAGTTTCTAAACCTAGACAATTTCTTAATTTGCTATGCACGAATGAGAAATTTAAGAAGATTCTCTCAAGTTCAGCAGAACTAGCAGGCATTGCCTTTAAGGAACAAGCAAGATTTGTGAAACTTTCCTCTATTGCATATTTTTTAAAACTGGACCACCATGTAGCAGTTGGGGAAGTTGTCAAAACTTGACTGGAAAAATAAGTTTCAGGAAATGGGGCCGATTTGTTTTGCAAAGGTAATATATATTTATATATTTACATTATTAAAGGTTATTCTTTTATATATAGACAATAATATATATTTACAAACAATGAATTAAAAAGTTTGTTACAGTTACATGGAGTTACATTTTTCAGTTTACTTAAACAAAATGTCATTAAGCAATTACTAAAACTAATATAGATGCTTTTTTAGTTTCTGCCAGTTTTTATGGGTTATAACCAGTTTCTGCCACTGGCCTGGCAAAAACTAGTTTCTGCCGGCAAAAAGCCAACCCTGTGTATGGTGCAGTGCATTTGAAGAAAAAAAGCTGTCAAATATTGGGGTAAATTTCTTAAGTTGTTGGGAAAATATTACTGTAAATTCACGAAGATGTGCCTACTCATTTCTGAATAAAAACCTAAAATTTTGGTATGTACGACATATACAATAGTACGGCCCCCATTTTATCTTTTGCAGCAATCTTTTTTTATACTTTAGAATCAATAATAATCTAAAGAATATAACAATAGCATGACTGACTCTCTCCCTCTCATTCAAAGAAGCCACTGTGGCTGGCCCCTTCTGCAATCTCCCTGGTACTAGCAGTCTCTTATGAGGATAAATGGAAGTATGATTCCCCCTTTCACTTTCTTTTGTTGCTAGTGTGAAGGAAAAAAAGTGAAAGAGAAATATGCAAGTCCTTTTCTAAAAGGGATGAGTGAGGTGAAATGCTTACTTGATCTATTTTTAAGGTCAACTTTATTATTTTAGAACTGTGCAATTTCGAAATTTAAGGATGTTCGAGCAAAATGATGCTAACATCATTAGCATGTAGATAAAAGGAGAATATGTGAACTACTAATTTTAGATTTTAAAGAGTCGGCTTTTCCCAGTTTATTATTTTTTTGCAAATTTAAAAAAATACGGTTTTAAATTTGTTCTATATGTGAAGTTTCTTTTAACATTATTTAGCTGTTTGATCATTTGATTTATTTCTAGCTGGTGATAGAATCAGCTGGATTGCTTTGATTTATTTCTAGCTGGTAATTGATTCTAAAATAAGTTATTTATAAAAGATACAATGCATTCGCGATTATTTTATTCTTCAATTTTACACTTCAAGGGTTATTAGCCATTTATCGTATAATATTTTTAAACTTTTAAAATTAGTAATTAGAAACAGGGTGCAATCATGATTATTCTGAATAATACAATTTTGCCCAAAACAAGTTTTATTTATTTATTTATTATTAATTTTTTAAAAATCATTTTAAGGATATTTATGTGTTTTTTATTTGATTTAAAAATATTTAAGTATATTTCAAATCAATTTGCAATTAAAAGATATGATGCAATTGAAATTGCTCTATTTTGCTCTAAGTAAGGTTCTTTGCATTAATTTATTGTATATTAATAGCTTATTTAAATTATCTTTAGGTGCTTACATAAAATTAGGATATTTTTAATTAGTATTTATTGACTTAATGTGTTTCCAAATGTTTTACATTTATATTGCTCACAATTGAACACAGTACAATTTTGAAAAGTTATTATTGCAATTTTGCAATAATAAATTTGTGTGAAATTTTAAAAAAATTATTGAAATGCATCATTTCTGATTTAAAATACGATCATAAATGGCTATCGTATATTTTCTAATTTTTTTACTTTTTTTTAGCCATTTAGTTATTCATTTTATTTTATATTTTGTTATTTGTAACAGATGTCTTAACTCTGCAATGGTGCATGCAGTAAAATTACGTTCAATGTATTCAATGATGCGATCTTTCTGCTGCAGAACTTTTCCTTTTTAATAAAATTTTACTGTTGTGGCATATATCCCAAGGTGCAGTTTCTTCGTGAAATTATGGTATTTATTTATGAAATAAAGAATTTTCTTAAGTACCATTATAATGAAAAAGGTTTCATTGTAATAGAAATGTAAGGTAAAATGAGATAAGAAGGAAGTATTCATTCCTCATATTTTTTATTTATTTATTTATTTTTTTTTTTTTGTACTTTCTGCATTCTAATTGTATTTTACTTGTATAATTTTTATTCAATGACAAAACTTAACCGTTAACGAATATTTGTTTTGTAAACAGAACAAAAAGAAACTGAAACGTACAACCATGGAAAATGAAGATGAAGAAATTCATAAAGCAGAATCCTTGGATATTCAGGTTTGCAATCGATTCAATATTTGTCACTTTTTTAATAGAAATCGTAGATATTTTGATATATAGATTTTATGTTTGTACGAAACGTTCTCTGAACATATTATTTAGCTTTTCAATTTTCAGAAAGAAATGCTACTATTTTTTATTTTTGTTGAACCTCTTTAATACGTAACTGAAAACATTTAACCGATCATTTACTTTATAAAAAGTGTTTCTACAGTGTCAACAAACAGGCATTAGTCTGAACTTTTATTTAGTATTTATTAAAAAAAATATTATAATACTGAGGTAAGAGCTCAACTATCCAGAAAGGGTGAATTCTGATTATACAAAGTTTTCGGTTACTTAAGTGCAGAAATTCTGAATTTTTTATATTACCTTATTTCTCAGGAGGAGAAAATGCAAGACCCTAATAATTACAAAAAATTATTGCAATCAGTACCATTAGAGTAATATGGATAAGGGAAGAAATAGCTATAATAAACATTCTTAAAAATTATTCAACATAAATAAGTAATTATTAAAAATTTGAAATTGTTAATTTGAAAAAAATGCTAGAGAAAAACTTACTTAATTGACGCCTATTTTTATTATTTAATGCTAAAATTCTCTGTGTTTCTATCGCTGCAAAAAAATCCTTTTTTTTTCTTTTTCAAGATCTTGGTTTTAGGAAAATAATAGGATAAAGGGAAGTAAAACTATATAAGTTATCTATAAAAATAGAACTGAAATCGCAAATTAAAAAAAAAAAGCGAGAGGAAAAGAAGCATTTATAATTTTTAAAACGAAACTTTAAAGCTGAAAAGCTCAATTTTCCATAATGCCTTTTTTTTTTATTTATTTTTCATATGAATTCATTAATTTTTGAACTTTATTCAGTAAATAACATGCTTTTAAATTTGTCTTCATCTTTTCCTAGATATATTAAATAATTAACAAAGTATTTAGCTTGAGGTTTACTACAAAGTTCTTCAAATTTAAATATATCAAATTTATTTCTTTGTAACATTCATTTCTTTCATAAGGCTTACTTTTAAAGAAAGAGCTTTAAATCCTTGTATGACAAAGAAGACCACTTCAATTGTTTTAGAAAGAGCATTTTTTTTTTTTAAATTGCCTATTTTCTAAACTTTGCCTATTGCTTATTTTTTAAAACATTCACTTTTTATTTATTGTGCGTCAGTTTCAATTGTTAAGGATTAACAGTGAATGTTCAGTTCTTTCCATTTGACCTTATTTCAAAAGTAGTAAAATTTAAATAAATGTATAGATATTTTTATGCTAATGACAAATTGTTTTATTTTATGTATTTAATTTATTTTTGCAAATCAAAATTAATAATAATTATCTGTTAAGTTACAAGTGCCTTTATAACTTCTCTTAGCAAGTTATTCTCCCCCCCCCCCTGTGCTGTGAGGGCNTAAGGCAGAGATAAAATAAAATTTAAACTAAAAACATTCTAAATAATCTAGGTGAATATCAAGGAATATACCTTAATTAAGGTAAATTTTAAAGTAATTTTAAATTTTTTTAATAGTGGTTAAAATTTAATTCATTAGAATTACTTTAATACTCAAACCTTCAAGCATAAGATAAGATAAACTCTAGATTTTAAATATATTTGCCATGCTTTTATTAGGTTTTAAAGTCAAGTCATTAATTTATTTTCATGAAATTTCAGACTATTCGAGAAGGCATGCTTCTATTGGGAAGTATTATTGAAATTAGGTCCAATTGTCTTTTGATGTCTATACCTGGTTGTCTAGTGGGCACTATTCCTGTGACAAATATTAGTAATAGGTATACAGAAGTTTTAAAAGAGTTCTCTGAAAGTGGAACAACTGAAGAAGTAAGACTTAATTTATGCAATTTTTATATCAATTTGCTATGTCTGTTACATAATTGACTCGTTAATGACTAATTTACAATTTTTCAATGATTTTGCATTATAATATTAAATGTTATTAAATAAATTTAAAAAATTGCTAAGTAATTCAACCTGTGTTTCATTTGAAAAGTGTGTATAACTTTAAAACTCAATGCAAAAAGTTGCAAAATCATTAAGTAAAATTCAAGGGTATATAGTAGAATTCCAGAAAAAACTGCTCTTACAATTTTATTTACTAAAATGTTTGTGTAGGGGAGAGCGGGGGCTAATGGGACACTTTTTTAATTCAAGCTGTATTTCAGTAAAATATGTAGATATTTTTTAAAAAATTCTACTAAATTAAAGCATGCATATGGGCCTAATAAAAAATGCTTTATCTGTTTGAAAAAGACTTATCAGTTTCGTAAAAAATTTCAATTTCTGAAGTCATATCATTGTCCCATTAGTCCCCATATATGGGGTCTAATGGGACATGATGCAGGGCTAATGGGACAAATCTAAAAAATAAGCAAATTTTGTACTAAATAAAATAAATAAACATTAAATTATGTATGGAAACTATTTAATTAAAAATTATTAATACCAATGCTCTTTTACAATTTTTTTTTATTTATGAATAATTATTTAAGGTCATATAAAGAAAAATCAAAATCGAAACTCAAAATTGTAGATGATCGCATTGTTTGTTGGTCAATTTTTGGCGGTGGCAATTTTGACACAAGGTCAGCAATATCAGTCCAATGCTTATCTTCTTTCTCTGGATATGNTATCATAATCTATGATATATCTGCTATCTTATAGGATATTTCTATCAATTAAAAGTTATTTTAAATGACATAAAAGATTCAATTAAATAAAAAAATTAATACTTACTTTGATGTGAAGAAACAGCAATGTTGTTCTCAGGCTTAGCACTTAACTGCAATGGCTGACTTCTTGTAGTTCAAAGATGCAGTATTACCTTTGCCATTCTGTGGTATAAAAACTTTTCATAGAAATATTTTATTTTGCACACAAAGTGATTTGTCCCATTAGCCCTGCGTCCCATTAGCCCCCAGTCTCCCCTATAAAAAGAGTAAGTAAATAAATAATAAACTCAACTCATGCTTTTCTACTGCATTATTATGAAAAACTATTTTTAATTAATGTAAATGAAAATAACACTTAAAAGTGCTTATCAAATATGTGTTCAAAAAATAATTCTTGTGAGTGTGTGATGCATTTTGAACTTCAATTGGTTAATCATTTGCTTAAGTGTGTGATTAACGAGCTTTATAATTTAAGTCTGGAAGAAAGATACTAACAACGTTAAATATTTTTTTAAATTTCTTTAATCAATATGCAGTTTGGTTAGACACTTTAAGATCATCATAAAATTAAAGTATTGAACCTAATTATAAAATATGTTCTGAAATTTTATAATCATCTAAAAACTAACCACCAGAAATATGTATACTTTATTTGGAATATCTTATCCAATATTTTTCACTTAATCACTAAAGTTTGTTTGCTCATCGCAATGAAAGAAAAAGTCTACTGTTGTTCAAAGTGAATTAAAAGATTTATTTTGACCTCTTTTTAAGATTAAGATTCTTAAAAAGGGGTCTTCTCTCTTAAACAGGGTTGCCACTCTACATGGAGAACA